TGACGTGGCGGGCACGCGGTGGCCACTCAGGCGGCAAGGTGGATGGCCTCAAGCCGGCCCGACGGCCATGGCGCGGCGGCGGCGCGACACCAGCGGACGGCGGCGGCGATGCGGCGGACGGCGGTGGCGCGGCGGCGGACGGCGGTGGCGCGGCGGCGGCTATGCGGCGGCGCACGGCGGCACGGCCCCGAAGCGAGGCGGCGCGGCAAAAGCGGCAGCGGCGGTACGGGAGATAGAGAGGGATGGGAGGGGAGTTCCTCGCCGATGGCGAATGGCGAGAGGTGGACGGGCTTCGAGAGGACCTAAGGAACAAAATGGGAGAAATTAGAGAGGGAGAGAGAGAAAGAGAGCACAGAGGGCGGGAACGCTGGCCGAAGGCCGCGGCCATGGCCGAACTCACCGGCGGATGGTGCAGAGTGGGTTCCGGGGGCGGAATCCGACGGCGAAGGGGTGGACGGGGTAGCCCTCGGGCTCGCGAACCCGAAGGTGGCAACGGCGCGCTCGGCGGCGGTTCTAGCGGCGGCGAGCGGCAGCCGAAGGTGGCTAAGGCGGCGACTGCGGCGGGTGCACGGCTCTAGGGCGGTAGAGGGCATGGGAGAGCTCGGTGAAATGGGGAAAAAGGGAGAGGGAGGGGCGGTGATGCTTAAATAGGGGAGGAGGGGTCTGGACGTGGCCAGGAGAGGCGGGAATCGCCGGTTGACGTGGGGGAGTGGGAGAGGAGAGAGAGGCGGGATTCGAAATTCGAATCCCGGCCATCTCGTGGGCGCGAGCGAGCGGGAGATGGGTAGTGGAGGAGCGGGAGGCGCGGGGGAGACGGCGACGTGGGCGGCGTGGCCCGGGAAGCGCGGGAGCGGGCGGTTGCGGGGCGGCGGCTGCGGATGCGGCAGCGTCCGAAGGTTGGGGGAGGACCCGACAGGTGGGCCCCACCTATCGGCGACCCCGGGTGAGAGAGGAGGCGCGGCCGGCTGCTGGGCTGTGGCCTTCGGCCGGCCCAGCAAGGGCGCGGGAGGGAGGAGGAAATGGGCTGGCAGCTCATTAGGGAAAAAGGAAGGGGAAAAGGAAAGAAAAAAGAAAAGGATTTCCCAGGGATTAAAATAATGCTTGTGCTCGATTTTAATTGGTTTGAATTATTTCTAGAGCTCTGAAAATTCCACTAAAAATCCTGTTAGCATATTTTGACATGTAGAACTCAAGAAAAATCCCACATGCCATTTTCGATTATTATTTGCATTACTTCAATTAGGGTTCCTCTCTTGATTTTACACAGGTAATTTCTCGAGACCATTTATTAATTAATTTAGGCTCGGGAGAAGAACTTCAGGGTGTGACAATATATATGTGAGATAAGGATGATCTCTAGAAAGGAATATTGCCCTAAGATCCGCATTGGCTTTGCCCGGTTGCCCCGCAAAAACTGGCATACTATTCTAACCACTTTTTTTCTTCTCTGGCTGATATGTTGGCCATCCCTTAAGAAGTAGGATCATCACATCCCTCGTACCAAACGGATAGATGTGACTATCCCATCCTAAAAACATGGATGGGTCCAATTTATCCCACCTCATTCTCAACCCAAACACATATTTAGGATCGAGTGAATACTATAGTCAAAGACATAATATATAATCCCTTTGCCTCATAATATATAAATTTAGAATTGGATGGGATGTTTTATAGTACAACGAATTTAGACATAAAGTATGCACGAATTCTTTGTAATATAAAGTGTTCCATCTGGTATTAGGTTGTTATATCATGTGAGGGAGGGAGTATTCAATTCATCAGCACGGGAGTAAAGTCATTGGTGAGCATGCATATATACATGGGCGTGTGCACATCAACTAATCGTCGGCTGTGTTTAGATCCAGGGGTGTAAAGTTTTGGTGTGTCACATCGGATATATGGATACACTTTTGAAGTATTAAACATAGACTAATAACAAAACAAATTATAGAATCCGCCTGTAAACTGCGAGACGAATTTATTAAGCCTAATTAATCCATCATTAGCAAATGTTTACTGTAGCACCGTATTGTCAGATCATGGAGCAATTAGGTTTAAAAGATTTGTCTCGTAATTTATACGCAATCTGTGTAATTAGTTATTTTTTTGTTTATATTTAATATTTTTTATATATGTGTCAAACATTCGATGTGACAGGATAAAATTTGTTGACATGATCTAAACAGGGCTGAATTGAATGAAGAGAGAAGAGATCGAAAAGCTGCAGATCGAAAAGCTTGAGGTGGTGTTTAGATCCAGGGACTTAACTTTAGTCCCTGTCTTTAGACACTAATTTAGAGTATTAAATATAGACTACTTACAAAACTAATTACATAAATAAAAGCTAATTCACGAGACAAATTTTTTAAGCCTAATTAATCTATAATTAGAGAATGTTTACTGTAGCATCACATAGGCTAATCATGGATTAATTAGGCTCATTAGATTCGTCTCGCAAATTAGTCCAAGATTATGGATGGGTTTTATTAATAGTCTACGTTTAATATTTATAATTAATTTTCAAACATCCGATGTGATAGGGACTTAAAAGTTTTTAGTCCCATCTAAACAGGACCTCAGTAGCTAGCTTTTAGTGACTACTCCTATTTAGCCCCACCTTCATTGACTTTATTAATCATATCAGCATCATATATATATATATATAGAGATCGTCATGCATTTCATCGATCCATCCGATCGATTCCGTCGTCGATGAATTGATTGCATACATATATCAATCCATCCATCCATCGATGGCATTCGTTCCATTAACAGTTCAAGTACAATTAATAGTACGGCAATCTACTGTAGTACAATAACTAAAAGCTAGCAGCGAGCAAGTGATCATGGAGCATGCAGTTTTCCTCGCAGGAATTAATTAAAAAGCAACCGAGCTACATATCAAATGAAAGCTCTAGCTAGCTACGTACAACTTCCTTTTTTTCTCTACCTTTACATAGCTACAAATGCTAATTCAGTTCGTCCATAAATCGCACTGAATATATATATATATATATATATATAGACACACATGAACTAGTTGCAAGTTAAGCGTATATTAACCGGTTAAGTTAATTTTTTTTAAGATAATGGAAGCTTTATTTAACTCAAAAATATTTGAGTTCCCTTATGGTATGTGGAACCTATCTTTCTGAATTTAAGTTATAAATTAAGGTAGTAGAGTCTTGATATGAAGGCTGGTATTTATGATTAATTCTTTTTTCAATGACGAGGGACATATGTAACCATCTACAACAAAGTGTATGTATGGTGACTTCGATAATCTTAAGATATATCGCTCTAGTTTCTCGAAAACACCGATAGCGATAAGTAGATATGTATGTTCATAATAGCGATAAGTATATGAGCGTATGCATTTTCGGATATGATTAGGGATCGAGCAATATATCACTAGCTCTATCCATTAATTCAAATGCTATACTACACCAGGAGACCGGCCGGATATATCCATGGCTAGCTGCATGTATGCATGTATCATGTGCGCGTATAGTATATATATGTGCATATGCGTTTTCTTTTGTAGAAAAGTAATTATAAAATATAAGCACGATGCATGTACTGGTGTCCGCACATCTGGAAAAGGTAGCTAGATGAAACAAAATAACTGACGAGGATATAGATATATAGATAGAGATAGAGATAGATAGTCATGACGTGTACAAGCATATGTATATATTTTTTTTAATAATGAAGCATATGTATAAGTATATATACATGCATGTATGGCCGGCGCATGCAATGGCAACGTGATGGGTTCGATCAAATTAAAATGAAGACAAATTAGTTAATTAGAAATGCTAGTTAATTAATTAACTATATGCCATGCATGGCTGCAGAAATCAAGTGAGACGAGAGATGGCTGCAAATACAGATCGAAGCATGTGTCCCCTAGCTTGCGATCGCTAGCAAAATGGTAACCAGCCGCGTTATGGTTAATTTCAAGCTAGGATCATCGATCACCCTGCAGCAGCTAGATTATTTTACCAGTGATAATATTTCTTCATCGCTTGCATGCATATGCATGAGCAGCGTGATCAATCTACATCCACTTAATTGAAGCCATAACAGTTTGATAGATATATAATTACATGGATGTATGTGCAGAAGCTAGCAAGTCAGACAAATTTAATATATATGATATACATGCCTACTATTTATAGACATGCTACCCGTGTTCTGTTTTAGTGAAGGATACGAAACATTTTTTATACATCTATCTATAAGAATGAATCCCTCTGGGATTGCTGGAATGTGAGGGGATCCACGTCACACAAGTATATATATTATTCGAGCCATTTTATTAAAACAGTGTGACACATATGAATGTTTGAATCTACTACATATATATGAAATTTGTACTGAGGTAGAATAGAATCATCTCGATTTCTCATGTTCTTTTTCCTCTTCTTTACTCTAGCCATGTGTTTCTATATGCAGATCACAAGATTATGACTATGCTAGCACTAGCTTTGCACGCGAGTTTAATTATATTGTCTGGATTGATATATCTTTTTATCCTACAAGATTTAGCAACAACCTGACTGTATATGCGTGATCAACATGAGGATCGGTGTTGCTTGTGAGCATTAAGCCAACAATAAAGCGATACACTTTGGATGCAGCGAGACAATTAGGGAAGCATGCAAAAACGATCAAGACAAATGGTAAAGCAATGCAGCTATAGCTAAAGGACTTAAAGTAGCCAAACACGCGATACATCATAACGATAGATGTATCTCGATGCAAGAATATGACGAGCCAGGACAGTAAAGCCTCGGTATATCGATCGATTCCAGCTGTGGCACCCATAGAGAAATGAGCCCGTCAGAAGATGTATCCATAGATGGCACGCGGGGCATAAGCATTCACAATTGGAAAGATGAAACAGACCATCGGAAACAAACAACGGTAGGAGTTAAAGTAGAGATGGAGTCTTCCCTGACAAGTGGCTTGTGTGCACACGCGTCCCCCCTATTTAACCCAACCCTCCGGCCTACATCTTCCTGCATTCATCACAACACCATCCATCAATCTTAATTCGCTTCTACATTGGGGTGCTTGTTAATTTGCATGCGAGCTTGTTGAGGTATATATGTTCAATATATGAAGAGTACTATAGCTTAATTATGTTTGCACTATCTAGAAGTTGAGATTTTTGGCATTTACATACTACATCGATTTGCTAAATTAATTTGGTTAATGATTTGCTTATATAGATAGATATATGTATTATTGGCTATATATGTCAGGTTGAAGCTAGCGATCGTTGAGAGCAGTAGTAGGTGGTGAGCATGGGAGAGCAGCAACAGCAGGTGGAGCGGCAGCCGGACCTGCCTCCGGGCTTTAGGTTTCACCCAACGGACGAGGAGATTATCACCTTTTACCTTGCACCCAAGGTTGTGGACAGCAGGGGCTTTTGCGTTGCTGCCATTGGAGAGGTGGATCTCAACAAGTGCGAGCCATGGGATTTGCCAGGTAAACATTCTAGTATTATTTTGAATTGAGAGAAATTATATATATAATTAGGGAAATTTATATGATATGATATGATGCATGTGAAAAGTAAAAATAAATAAATGTAGGGAAGGCGAAGATGAATGGGGAGAAGGAGTGGTATTTCTACTGCCAGAAGGATCGGAAGTACCCGACGGGGATGAGGACGAACAGGGCGACGGAGGCTGGATACTGGAAGGCGACGGGGAAGGACAAGGAGATCTTCCGCGACCACCACATGCTCATCGGCATGAAGAAGACGCTCGTCTTCTACAAGGGCAGGGCTCCCAAGGGCGACAAGACCAACTGGGTCATGCACGAGTACAGGCTCGCCGACGCCTCTCCGCCGCCGCCGCCATCCTCCGCAGAGCCCCCGAGGCAGGACGACTGGGCCGTCTGCAGGATCTTCCACAAGAGCTCCGGCATCAAGAAGCCGGTGCCGGTTGCTCCTCATCAGGTGCCCGCCGCCGCCAACTACCAGCAGCAGCAGCAGATGGCCATGGCCTCCGCCGGCATCATCCAAGTCCCCATGCAGATGCAGATGCCATCCATGTCTGACCAGCTGCAGATGTTGGACGACTTCTCCACCACCGCTTCACTCTCACTCATGGCGCCGCCTTCCTACTCCACTCTGCCTGCAGGCTTCCCGCTTCAGATCAACAGCGGCGCCCATCCCCAGCAGTTTGTTGGGAACCCGTCCATGTACTACCACCAGCAGCAGCAGATGGACATGGCCGGCGGAGGGTTCGTGGTGAGCGAGCCGTCGTCGCTGGTGGTGTCGCCGCAGGATGCTGCCGACCAGAACAACAACGCCGCCGACATCTCGTCGATGGCATGCAACATGGACGCTGCCATCTGGAAGTACTGAAATACATACCATACATACATATATACATATGCATGCGCGAGCTTAATTAGTGTGATGACAGAGGGTGGTGGGTTAATTAGCTAGTATACTCCATTTTATGCATCCATCATATGGCTTTTGCATTGCCTTTAATTTTGGCTTCTTGTGTGAGATCGATGTGAGTGAGATTTGCTGAGAGATTATTATTATTAGTTATTATAGATTGCATGGCTAGCTATATTGTACTACTAATAATATGTGTCTGCCAGCAATACGTATGTGTGTGAGCGTGCACCGTATAGCAAGGTATAGTTACAGGTATATACATACAAGATATATATAGGTATACATGCATGCGTGATAGATATATGTGTGTATTTGTGCGTGAGCCCAGCTTGATTTGTGTTGTACATAGCTAGCAGTGCATGCCTGCTATTCCTCTGTATGGATTGAATTATGTGAATTAATTATTTTGTTTAATTACAACATGCATGGTGTATGGTGTACTTATTATATACTATGAACTTAATTTTCAAGTGAGATATATATACGACTAGCTAGTTTTCATATATACTACTCTAATTAGGTGTTCTTGCATTAATTCATCATTCATTTATGTAGCTAATATCCATTTTTGGTGTGGATATATAGGCACAAAATTAAAGCATGCATGGGACCGCATGTCTACCTAACATTCTGCATGATTTGCGTTGCCATATCAGTTTAAAAAAATGAACGGTCTGATTCAGTGACACATTATAACAAACATTCACGTGTTTGTTCTTCCTCCCTAAAGGATTTGAATTCTTATTACATAGGTCCAACTTTTTTAAAAGAAAAAAGAAACAGACAAATCAGATACTTGATAGGCACCGTGAGAGACCCCCCACGTTGCCTCCCGTGTGTGGGACTCGGAGGGGCCGGGAAGGCGAAACACAAAACCCTAAGCCCAAACTATCCAAGCGTGACGAACCCGCGATATGACAGCGTCATGCCAAGCTAGATTGGGAGCTTGAGAGAAAAAAAATATCAAGAGTTTAGCGAAAATGCTTAGTGTCGGACGTCTGCCGTAACATGAAAAATCAGACAAGAAAACTACTACTTACATCCCTGTCTACCACACATCCATACACACTGTATGATTTTCAAAATATGTTTTCTTCTGAACTACTTATCCAATCTATGATATGATCACACCATTATATTTGTTATAATTAAATCTTTACAACAAGATATCACATCATTACATTCCGATCAAAGAAAAACATATGTTTCAATCTGTTAAATTTAATGTTTCAGACGTGATAGCAATATGTTTCAATATGTGTCTTCATTGTGTTTCATAAAAAAATTTAAATGTTTCAATAACTGAATTTTATGTTTCACCACGTATAACTCAATGTTTCGCTAATGACCGAAAAGGTGTGGGACGCTCATGTCCCTGCTCTCTCTCTCTCTCCTGCTATTCTATTGGCTCTCTCACTATGCATGCATGTGTTAGTGACCTTAAAAATATTTTTTCTTGTGAACTACTTATCCGATGAATGATTCGATCACGCTGTTGAATTCCTTATAATTAAATCTTTACAACCAGATATCGCATGATTATATTCTAATGAAAGAAAAACATATGTTTCAAACAATATAAACTTATTGTTTCATACGTAATAGCAATATGTTTCACCATGTGTTCTCATTGTGTTTCACAAAATTTTTAAATGTTTCAGAGCCTAATTTTTCTGTTTCACCATGTATAACTTAATGTTGCACCAACGGTCAACTGAAACATTTGACCGTTTGATTTTTTTTTACACCATCGGACGTCCGATCGGTAGCTCTCCCCAGAGTTTAGGGTTGGAAGAAGAGGAAGAACTCGGGAGGAAGAAGCAGTAGAGAGACAAGTTTGGGGTGTTAACAGTGAAATTTGGTAAGCCCAGAGTAGTCATCGGCTTTGAAGTCCTGAGATTAGCCGATGAGAGTTGTCAAGTCGTCAGTTGTCGGATCCTTGCTATATTTGGTTAAGGAAATTGATCTACTAAAGGAAGCTTATTCAGAAGAGACCGAGTTCAAAGAAAATGCGGCATGGCAAGTTATCTATTAATTAGGAATAGTTTGTTAGTTTCCTTTTATCTTTAGGAAAATGTGTTTAGTGTCCTATAAGGACTTTATATTTTCCTTTTATCTTTAGGAAAGTTTCTTTCTTTTCCGACAAGGACTTGTATCAACCCATGGGTATAAATATGTACACCCGGGGTCTATGTAATCTATCGCTACGATCAATACAATTCGGCGCATCGCCACCCTTTTTACTTCTACTTTTGTTTTTACGTTCCGGTGGAACTTGGCACCCAACGCAGGGCTGCATCATCTTCGATCTCCGGCGAAGGGATAAGTCCAATGTTCCGCCGGTCCAGGCAATTGTATCGTCTACATCGGCGTCGTTCAAGGCTGCATCAGGACATTCGACCTCTTGGATTACTCTGGTTTGGATAATATATTTGCCTCGCTATTTATCATATGTCTATGTTAATCTAGTCCTAGCATCTCAATTTAGCTCTATCGGCTGTCTCTCGCTTTAGGGTTTCTGCCGGTATCGGCTAAATTGCCTTGCTAGATTAGATTAGCCTAGGCATCTACCACCCTGAAAATCAGTCAACGGCTTGATTGTCTAGATATTGTGTTTCTTTTCATACTTAGTGCTGCATCAGTTAAGTTTGATCTACTAAGTCGTGCTTAGAACCATAATCTCTAGCCTGCTTCTTGATTGCCAATAAGGGTTTCATCGGGGTTTTAGCCGATGAGTTATCTGGACGTTGCATCGGCTTACAAGGATTGCATACATATTGGATTTAGCCGATCGCAATAAGATTTAATTATTTAATATAATCTTGTGGATTTTATGACATCGGACCTCCAGCCGATGTATGCTTTAACCTTCCGATCAGTGCTTATTATATATTGTTTCTAGCCGATTGGTTTCTACTCGATTATATTGTTATTTTATTACATCAGCCGATTTCCTTTATATCATTATCTACATTGGACATATAGCCGATTGCTTAAACCCTATCGCTATCGGCTGGTATCGGTATCGGCTATTATCGGCTATCGGCTGGAACTACTCCATTGGCTTGTCAGCCGATTGGCTGTTTTGATCTACTATTTGCATATCTTGTCAGTTGCAGGATCAAACTGACTGGCACGCCCGCATCTCAACAACCTTTGGACCTGCACTGGAGCTAAGCAAATCTCCCAGGCCGGTGTGTTCGATTTTTTCGTCAACACAAATTGGCACGCTTGGTGGGACCACGAATTTTTTATCCACATGTCTGAAGAAGAAGTCAATGCCAAGATCATGGTCAAGGTGGAGAATTTAACGGAGGAACAACAATATTGGCTCGGGGGGCAAGCGCATCAGTTTCAGCATGGTGGAGCACATCAGTATCGGCTCATGAAAGCCGATTGCAAGAAGCAAAGGAAGATTGGTTTTGGAGTTATCAAGACAAGAAATTTTGAAGCATGAATTCTCATACTCCAAAACTGGGGGGCATGTGTTAACAGTGAAATTTGGTAAGCCCGGAGTAGTCATCGGTTTAGAGTCAGCATCGGCTTTGAAGTCCTGAGATTACCCGATGAGAATTGTCAAGTCGTTATTTGTCGGATTCTTGCTATATTCGGTTAAGGAAATTGATCTACTAAAGGAAACTTATCCAGAAGAGACCGAGTTCAAAGAGAATGTGGCATGGTAAGTTATCTATTAATTAGGAATAGTTTGTTAGTTTCCTTTTATCTTTAGGAAAGTGTGTTTAGTATCCTATAAGGACTTTATCTTTTCCTTTTATCTTTAGGAAAGTTTCTTTCTTGTCCGACAAGGACTTGTATCAACCCATGTACATACACCCGGGGTCTATGTAATCTATCGCTACGATCAATACAATTCGGCGCATCGCCACCCTTTTTACTTCTACTTTTGTTTTTACGTTCCGGCGAAACTTGGCACCCGACGCAGGGCTGCATCGTCTTCGATCTCCGGCGAAGGGATAAGTCCAATGTTCCGCCGGTCCAGGCAATTGTATCGTCTACATCGGCGTCGTTCAAGGCTGCATCAGGACATTCGACCTCTTGGATTACTCTGGTTTGGATAATGTATTTGCCTCACTATTTATCATATGTCTATGTTAATCTAGTCCTAGCATCTCAATTTAGCTCTATCGGCTGTCTCTCGCTTTAGGGTTTCTGCCGGTATCAGCTAAATCGCCTTGCTAGATTAGATTAGCCTAGGCATCTACCACCCTGAAAATCAGTCAACGGTTTGATTGTCTAGATATTGTGTTTCTTTTCATACTTAGTGCTACATCAGTTAAGTTTGATCTACTAAGTCGTGCTTAGAACCATAATCTCTAGCCTACTTCTTGATTGCCAATAAGGGTTTCATCGGGGTTTCAGCCGATGAGTTATCTGGACGTTGCATCGGCTTACAAGGATTGCATACATATTGGATTTAGCTGATCGCAATAAGATTTAATTGTTTAATATAATCTTGTTGATTTTATGACATCGGACCTCCAGCCGATGTATTCTTTAACCTTCCGATCAGTGCTTATTATATATTGTTTCTAGCCGATTGGTTTCTACTCGATTATATTGTTATTTTATTACATCAGCCGATTGCCTTTATATCATTATCTACATTGGACATATAGCCGATTGCTTAAACCCTATCGCTATCGGCTAGTATCGGCATCGGCTATTATCAGCTATCGGCTGGAACTACCCCATCGGCTTGTCAGCCGATCGGCTGTTTTGATCTACTATTTACATATCTTGTTAGTTGCAGGATCAAACTGACTGGCACGCCCGCATCTCAACAACTTTTGGACCTGCACTGGAGCTAAGCAGATCTCCTAGACCGGTGGGTTCGATTTTTTCGTCAACATGGGGATAGTTTGATACTCCCTCCGTCCCAATATATAAACTCTTTTAGACTCTCTGACACAATCTCCGAGATGCTACTTTGACCAACAATACCTATAAAAGTAAGATATTAGAATGAGCAGCGACTAACTAAAACCAAGGAATCCATCATATGGTGTATTGGCAATGGGCGAATTGTCTGGGTGTGGCGTGATCCGAATAAGGCTACTTTTATGCTTAATTATGAGTTAATTGAGTATTGGTGCCGAATGCTTTCAAATAAAAAGAGCTGTATATTATGATAGTTTGTTTAATAATAAATCTAATAACATCAATTTTAAAGATTGATCTTTTCTATTTTTTTAGCTATTAATAATCAAAGTTAAAAATGTTTGACTTATTACTATGCTAAAAATGTTTATATTTTGGGACGGAGGGTTCATAATGTTCATTCGATGTCCTTTTATCACATCGCTGTAAGTCTTATATAATTACTCTCCTTTGAGCCCACCTATTAACAAAAGTACTCACTCAACACAGACGGACTCTATCATCAAGGCCTGGGGTTTCCTGGACTAAATAAATGGTTAACTACAGAAGCCCATAAACCCAGAGATCACAGCCCTTAGATAAACAACTATTGATGTTTATCTCGGGGTCAATCATCATAGGCAAGAATTGCACTGATCGCATCGAACCGATCAAAAAAAAACTAACTAATTTAATAGTAACACTTTCAAGCCTTGTTGCAAGATGGACGATCTATATATACAGTGACAAATTGAGCTAAGCCCCTAGGAAAAGGCTTCGGGATCAGGAGGGGAAGACAGCGAAATGAATTCAAAATAAAAGCTCATTTTGTTAACTCTATTTTACCTTCCTTTTTTAGATGAACTACATTTACCTTCAGACAGCCATATTCCTACAAAATGTACATTCCAGCATACTCGAAGCAAGGAGAACCTAAACCCACATTTTTCCTTTGCCTATAATAAGATCTTTGCCGATAAAACATCCTACTACAAGCGGCCAAAATTTTTACTGAGCTGTGCACCGCTCACAACTGTTACAAATACAATTGAGGGAACGGCAATATCGTTCTATCTCCTGAAATGTAAATTGACAACAGTTGGCTGCATATATGTCTGCTGAATAGAAAGTGCGAGAGGGAAAAATGGGTGAAACAAGAAGGAAGATATTCTTTTTGCCCTGCTGTCAGAAGCACCAGAATCTGAACCTGCAAAGTTTAAACCAAGGATATTTTGATTTACATGACCAACAAAAAATAGATCAAACTCGAAAGTAACTTATTCTACACTCAGCCATATAGTATGCCTATATGTTCACAACATGTTAACCATTATTTTGGTTTATTCATATGATGCGGCCTTCGTAATTGTAATATTACACAATGTCCTTGATAATTATATGAAGATACAAGCACGAACTTCAGAATCTAGATAATAATTGCTAACGACGATGATCTAGTAAGAAATACCTGGTTTTATCTTGAATTTGACAACATTTGGCTGTTTCACTGATATAAATTTTATTGGATGCTCTGTACAGTGTCTGTGCCGATCAATCGCTGAAATCAGCTGAAAACGAGGGACAAGGAAATGTCAAGAACTAAATAACAATAAGAAAAAAAACTAACATTTATTCATAGGAGTGGATCAAAGGGACCTATGAAAGTGGGTAGATGATTTTCTTACCCTTCAGTTATGCCCACATGGAAAAGAACAACCATAATTCATGCCAGTGGTAGTTTTTATTTAGCAAAGTCAAAAGGGGGATAAAATAGACAAAAGTGCCTCGCATGGCTTATATTTAGAGAAGATTGTGTCACATATTTGTTAGTCAAGGTAGCATCTTCTATGTGTTTGAACTTGACTGTAAACTGTAAACTGTAAAAGTAGCCAAAAATAAATTTCGAAAATATCAACTGCTTTCTGATGTATAATTATTTCAAACAAGTTGAAGAGCGAACCTTCTCATCATACCGAAACAATGATAGGTCAAAGTATGGCGAAGGACTTTGTGATTGACAAGTGTAAGGTAGTGACGCCATCATCTTTTTCACAAACTGCTAAATATAGAGCAGGCATTTACCAAAAGTCAGCATCACAAATTAGTTAGCATATGCCTTATGCCATATATAAATAGTAAGAGTAACATAAAATAAATGTGGATTTCAAGAAATATCAAAGATCATCAACTAGTAATTTCACACCTCTAGCTTTTCATCACAAAGATTTGGCTCATTCTAAAATTTTCACAAGCAAACCACTTGTCCTGGTGTTAATAGAAGCAGACATAAAAAAAGGCCCTTACTGGAAGACTGCTCAAGCTCACAAGGTTCAAGGCTTAACGGTAATACAGGGATACCTTTTAAATTCCTCACATACAGTTCAATGCCAAGACGATTCAGAAAATTTTCAGTTCAATGTTTAAGAAAACTTTCATTATGCATTTGGGATTTAGCGTTGCTCTACATTATTCAGTTCAATGTTGGTGATTTAGTGTTGCTGTACATTATATCCAAGCATGTAGAACTGAGCAGTATTGACTTAATAATTGAAACTCGTACGGTTTCTAATCAGAACATTGCAAAAGATGTAGGCATTAGCACAATAACTTTTAAACAATCTCACATCTTGTGGAAACAATATAAACAGACTAACAGAGCCAAGAACTGTAGTGAGTCAAAAAATAAAAATCATACCCCTGATGCTATCAATATTACCTGTGAGGTGCTGTTTGCTTTATTTTTAATTGTCCGAAGTTGATCGAGAGCATGAACATTATTGGAATGTGACGAGATAAAATTTCCATGCGATGAATTTTGTGGATTTGTGTGAAAATGGTCATAAAAATATTCAAACAATGAATAGAGCTCCTCCGAAGAATTCTGTTGATAAATTGCATAATAAGCTCAACGTAACAAACGGAAACAACTCCAACAACATGTTTCAATGAGAATAGGTACCTGATAGAGTGAAACAATATCTGTCGTCTCCATGTTGTACACAGCAAAGAATGCTGAATTCTGTTCAGTGCTGCGAGAAACCTAAAGAAACATAAATGTACTTACAGTTAAATGACATCAGGTTATGCACAACTGACTGGTAAGATGTCTGGAAAAATGGATTTACCCCTCCATCCACACTACCAAACTTGATAAATAGGTGATGACGATCCAAAAACTGCACCTGTTCAACTATCATGTTATAAGCACCTTTACGAAAAATATATATATGTATATTTGATAGAATATGGAATGTTTGGTTATCAGCACATGCTCTATCATCAAGGTTGTGTTATTACTGAGAGTTAGCTAAAATTAACTATATTGGTTCCAGGTAAAGGGTTAAGAAACTTTTCAAGAAATAAAAGTAGGGAAAGAGAGTAAGAGACAAAGTGAGCAGTGGATGTATGTAGGTACCTTCCATATGATAAGATCAACATAGTCTTGAAAGTGAAAATAGAACTTCTTCTTCAGATGCTGGACTCTCTGTAAACAAATCCATTGGTTCAACAAACAATTAAAACAAAATATTTTGCTCCACAACAAATTAAGTTCCAAAGACAGAACACAACAGTACCAATGAAAGAGGAAATATACAAGAGAAGGATGGAAAAAAGGTATAAATATTACTTTTAGCAGTGGGCATGTCAGTTGGGACAACTTAAATATAATATCTACTTTACATCAATATTCAAAAGTATGTGATCAACCTTGGAACAGGACCATGGCACAGAAGACAACGCACACCTTAATTCAAAACTAATACCAAATGAATGAACTAGAAAAGATGGCTAACCAAGGTCTGATCAGATTCCTCATTCCATGTCTTGCGAAAAATAAATGACAACAACCGTTGCTTGATGCCAGGAAGAAAAGAAACACCTCGTGCAGCCTGCAGGCATCAAGTACATTGACAGTTTGTGATTCATACGTAGATTTGATTTAGATTTATCGTGCATAAGTTCATAACTAGAATAATATCAACTATTGTTGATCAAGAATAATAGATCATGGACATGAATATTTTCCTAGACTGAGAAGGCGCTTTTGTGCAATAAAAATAGTGGGGGAAACAAGGAGCCAAAGTTAAAAAAAAATCCAAAGAACTAGTAGTAATGAATGAATGAATGAATGAACATGGTGGAAATAAAATTACGAGAAATATATTTCAAGCAACAAATGGGGAAGTGCATATCTGCTTCTCTATCACTAGTCTCCTGTAAGTTATACCGTTTACATAACAGAAACAATATGAAAACAATAGAAGAATGTCATTAGCAAATAGATAATCAAATATGTCAGAACAAAAGCACTCCTGGACAGATGCAGGCATACAATTTTCTTTTCTTTCTCTCTATTTTTAACATAGCACCAAAAATATTGCTTGCTACAGTCTAGAAGATCAATTCAGTCCAATAAATATTCTTGGTTATAGCCTAATTTATTTTTCAGCAAAGAATGGGTGTTGAAATCAGTGGTTATTGACCTATTTGTTGTTTTATCTGGCAACCCATTAAAACTGGAATGATTACTCCTCTTTATATAATCTCCTGGTGATGCTCCAGTAGCTCTCATATATTAGTTTACTTAAACGCCGTGGAAATGCTTGAGAATTAGAGCGCCACGTCAGCGTATTTTTGCACAAAGGTCCCTGAACTTCCAGTTAATTATGTGCCAGTCCCAGCTACCCCACCGTCCGATCTTGTGCTACGATCGATCTGGGTCGTACATCTGTCCTACCGTGCCGGCGCTTCCACACCTGTGATATCGTCGGATCACAAACGGACGGCAGAGATTGCACCAAACCCTAGCCTCATTGTCCGCTTCGCCCGCAGCCGCGCAAGCGCGCCGCCTCGCCTCCTCCTCCCTCATGCGCGCCGGCCCGCTCCCTCGCTCTTCTCCTCCCCTCGCATACGCCGTCATCGCCGTTGTCGCCGCCGCCAACGTCGCCGCCGCCGACATCACCGCAGCTGCCGCCACCGCGCTCTTCTAGCCGTCATTGCCACATCGGAAGATCCAGCCACCCGAACGAGAGGTATGCTAGCGGCTGCCCTCTTTCTTTCTTTTTTTTCCTTACAGCGATATTCCTACTGAAGAAAGCAGAGGAGGGTGATCCCATTGTGCTACTGCTAGACCCAATGGAATTGAAGTGAGAAGGGAGCAATAGAGGAACTAGGGGAAAAGATGGGCAAAAGATTGTGCTACTCTGATGCAGTTTTCAGAGACTACATTATTTATTTATATTCAGACCACATTCCAATTTATGAGGTAATTGGTTCATGCTTCATCCTAATTTCAATTATATGATTTTCTTTTCTTAGTATGCAATTTACATCTAGCTGATATTTGCAATCTTTGAAGTCCAAATCAGAGAATGTGAAAAACTGCAAAGTTGCAGGTATCAAGTTTAAGGACAGAGGTAACTTCTGATAAGAAGTCTGTGTATTGCAGTTCGACTATAACTTGATCTGTCAACTTGCAGAGGGTTTTCACCCCATTTACATGGCAGATAATGCCATTCTTTGTATATGGAAGTTGTAGAATTCAGCTCCTTAATCCAGTACTTTCATATTTGCTTTAGTTGTCATATTAAATTTTCAAATCAACTAAGTTTTGGTTCATCATGTTTTTAATTTGCAGAATATTACAATCATGCAATGTTTATCTCATCGACAAACTGTTGAATGACCATCATTTTGGAAAATGAACAAGACATCTCACTTTCAGCAACTGCTGATGCTTGCATTTGAATTATATTGAGGTATCCAAACTTCCAGAGCAATGTTCTATTCTATTTCAGCAAAATGATTTAGGCTTAATTCATCATGATGTCAAATGTCAAGTATATGCTCTGTCCCACCTATGAGAAAGCAACAACCTATCTGACAAAGTGACAGTTATAGTTTGTAGGTCTTCCAATTTATATGTACAAGATACAAATGAAGAATATTCATAAATGATTGTGGGATAAGTTCAGACCCACATGAAAGGTTCTGCAACGTGTTTTCAGTTTTGATTTTTTTTAAAGAGATCCTATGAGAAATTCTAGATGCGCTTCTTCATTCTATGATGGGTTGTCTATATACATTAGTTTTCCTTGATTACACATGAGCGCATGTACCACTAATATAGTTGCCATCGGCTCCATGTTCTTCCTATTTCTTTACAAAATATCCTATTGTTATAGCAAGTGTACTTACTTTTTGGATAGGAGTTCATGAAAATTGTTCTTTTGTATACAGCATCCATGATTTATATTTATGTCTTAGTTGTTCTTTATCTTGAGACAAGCAAGGTGACAGATCCTTCTTGCAAAACAAAACTCCTACTTTTGTTGAGAGGGGCAACCCATTGTCCTCAGCTCATGAAAAAAAATAATGAACGAAGCTATCAGTTGAAGAACCAAGCACACTAAGATGATAGAGGCTTATATGGTATATCTTGGATTGCATGACCACTTACCTGAGCAATAATTTCCTTCTCAATATGGAACGATAGCCATATTTCACTAACTACATGATCTGTTATTTTTCTACCACATATTAAGTTTTCACTAGGTTAATTATTACAATGCAGTTTAGTTCTTTGTGATACAAATGAGGCATTTTAGTTAAGTCGTATGGAAACACCATTTCTCCCTACTTCACAGCCATACATATTTTAGTTTTTTGAGTTAGTCATGCTTCCCTTACCAACTTCTCTATATATTTTGTGGGCATATTTACCTTCTATTGTAAAAACTGTCTAGACCAATTCTCATGGATTGCTCTTATTATTATCATTGTAGATGGTGATAGGGATCAGCAAGCGTGCAGTACATCTCAAGCACCTGCAAGCTGGTGGTTGGATCTTTACTGGCCATAGCTACTAATTCTTTTTTATGAAAAAAATTCCTCAATCAAATAAATCTCAAATATCAGATTATATCTGGTCAGTGTAACTAATGTGTTATCCTGACTCTGAAGTCAATTTTGAATAATCTTGAATTGGATCAATGCAAAGATATCTTCTATTCTTTACCCTTTGCATTATCGAGGATTGGTGAACATGTTAAGTTCAGATGTTACGGTGATATCTATCTTTTGGGGGAAGCAAGATAAATTTATACCATATTTTACCTTAATGATGCAATTTAGTTTTTTTATTTACAATTTGATCATATTACAGAGCATGCTTGGATGGCAGAGCAAAGAAAAGTACGAAGTATGGTGAAAGATGATTTTTGTTTTAAGTGCAAACAGTAATTGTTAGATCACACGCAGCGTAGCGCGTGCTTCTTTCTAGTTACTATTATTTGAACTATGAATGCCCATGGTTCCAGTGCAATCAACACCAATTTGATTAGACAGGTAATACATGACCAGTACCAACTATGATGTAAACTAAATATAGATCCAGCAATCTTGCCGTAGGGATCAGTAGGTACCTGACCATGTGAATGGAGAAATAGCTCATCATCTTCCTGGCAAAATGCACCAATTTTGCGTACTTCAACAAGGTTGCCTGAATCTCGTATCTGTAGGACATGAATTGTTTGATATCGAAGAGAGACAATGCATAGCAGGTCCTCATACAAGTAAGCTCCAATACTATGAGCCAGATTGATAAAATCATTGCGGAAAGCTTTCTCATCTAGTATTGCGCCATCGTCTAGCCTGAACAAGAGAAATATAGAAGTCGAGAACCATTCAAACGAAAGGAAAGGATGGTTATAATACATAGACATCATAACGGACAACTAAAAGTGCATTCCTAGCGAAACAAGATGATTGTACCTGACAAGATAGAAAGTAATTTTCTCAATTGATGGTACCCCATGAATAGCACCCTCAGTGGCACTTGAATCGTTGCTTTGTGCAGTTGATGTGGCAAATAAGCCAAACTGATGGCACTCCATGTAAAGGAAAAAGTCCTTGCAGATGTATTCATTGCTAGATGCAAGTGAAATTGAGTAGAGCTGCTTAAAGAAGCTGTCGAATTTCTTTGCTTTGGGTGGAAGATCATGAGAGTCGCATGGCTCATTGCATGAAAATGTTGGCCAGATGGGACGGTACACGATTAAATCTTGGTGGTTCCGGCTAAAAGCCACAAGATAGTTGCCATCATCAGTGAATTTACGAAATGAATAATCTGGGCAATCTATGTCACATATAGTGTAACTCGGAACCAAGTTCTCATAGAACTGTCTAACAGTGTTAACCTGTCAACAAGAGGGGGAAAAAAGAAGATGATGAAATCTGCTAGTATAATTGAATAGACAGTGCGCGATGCGAACTAGTAGTCGAGACGTGTGACGATGATAATAGTGAATTGACAATTGTTGAAGCGAGAAAAGGGAAATTCTATGTGGGTAGGTAGGTCAGGCATATACTCAATAAGAAAGGAAGGCAGCAAATAAGAAAGGAATACTAGTCAATATATAGTCCGTAGAAAGAGAAAGGAATGGGGGGCGGTGGGCGTACAGTAGCGCCGGGGCGTGGGGAGAGGAACTGGCGGTCGAAGACCCTGGAGGCGAGGTTGGCGCTGCGGAAGAAGGTCGCCATCACCGGGCCGCCCGTAGCCTAGCCGCCGCCGGCATCGCACGGGCGGAGGCCCTCCTGCTTGCTGCGGCGCGGGCGCGGCGGAGGAGAGAGGAATTTGGTTGGTTGGATGGTGTGGTGGTGTCTGCTCTCTCTTGTTGTTTGTGGCCACACTAGGGGTGGATATCTTGGCTCGGCTCGGCTCGCTCCAGCTCGTTAGTGTACCGAGCTGGCTCGGCTCGGAGCCAGCTCGTTCGGGGAGGCCGCGACCGACGAGGGATGGGCGGATGGCGAGGAGGAGGGGCCGAGGACGCGAGGTGCCACCGTGCGACCGGCTCGCTGCGGGCCTTGGTCGCCGGTGGTGGCAGGATGCGTCTCGCTCTCGCACTCTCGCTCGTGTTCGCCGGTTCGCGTGTGGGTTGTGGCCGCGGCGCCTGTGTTCCTTACTGTCTGCGTGCCTCTTCTCTGTGAATTAGGGATTCTAGGGTTTGTTTACTCAAGGAAATAGGCTATTGGGCCACTAATGGGCTTTTCTGGTTAGGTAGCCCGGCTCGGAGTGGACTCCTGGTCCTGGTGTTTCTCTGGCTCGTTGGCCTCGTGAGCAGCTTGCGAGCCAGCTCGAGCTAAACCCTTGGCTCAGCTCGTTAGCTTTTCTCAACGAGCCGACCACGAGCCGAGCGCACCCCTATTTGTGGTGCTCAATTTTTTGGGAGAACCAAAGCGAAGCAACTGCAACTGCGAGCACCACCGGGACATGCCTTGTGCATTCAAAGCACACCAACAAAAAAAACGATTCAGCCCAAAATAAAATATTTTATTACTATATACTATCTCCGTCCTAAAATATAACCATTTATAGATCCTGGCAATGGTCTCTGAGATACTATTTTGATCACTAATATTTATAAAAATAAGATATTTTAAATAAAAGAGTTGTATATTATGATAATTTGTTTACATGATTGACCTTTTTATTTTGCTATTAATGGCTAAAGTTAAAAATGTTTGACATGTTACTATGCTAAAAATGCTTATATTTTGGGATGGAGGGAGTAGTATTTTGTTGTTTGCCGTTTGAAAGCCATTTTAGTAAAATAAATTGCGATAAACAAAACTTCTAAAATTAAATTTCATTTTTTTTTAATTTTTTGCGAGTGTGGCTAACACAACAATAAGGCTGCATTCGTTCCAGCCGATTCCCAACTCTCCCCTCTCGTTTTCCGTACGTACACTTTCAAACTGCTAAATGGTGTGTGTTTTATAAAAATATTATATATGAAAGTTGCTTAAAAAATCATATTTGATTAATTTTTGAAAAAAAAATAGCTAATACTTAATTAATCACGTGCCAATTGCCTGTTCCGTTTCCGTGTGCACTCTTCGTGTTGGGAAGCAAAAATGAAGGAACCCAGCCTAAGCGACGTGAACAAGGCCCACAAACAAATTTTCTTTAGCAAATAGTAGGATTTTTGTCGAAATCGTATAAAACTATATATATTTTAAGTTGTGCCATATAATATTTAGTTTTCAAATTTCGCAGTACACACCACCCTTATTCAAGTTTTTATGCAGTTGGATAATGTTAGCTTCATAAATCATTTGGATGACCATTTTCTTCTTATTTTAGATTAAATATGAATTTTAAAACCATTAATTGTTGCTAACTTTAAAACAGTTATATTTCATTTTTTAAAGAAAACTTGTATAAAAAAAGTTCTTGAAAAAACACACCTTTTGCGGTTCCTGAAACATGGTAACTGAAAACGAGCAAATTGACACTCCTAAACTCAATACCAAACGGATCCTTAGCATAATGTTTTTTCCCATTTCTAAAATTTGAAATATGATATGTTTTTTTTGTTTTGTTTTGTCCTATTCTATTCTCAGCATTAGCCATTAGACCCTTAATAATACGGATAAACAAGTTGTACCTATAAATGACTTTTTAAGGGATTGTCTATGTAGCTTTTGACATAAAAATAACTCCTAAATTTTGGACCATTGGATCACTTTGAAATTTGTGCAACATACTTAAACCCTAGTTTTTCTCCTTCCCTCATAAGTCCACCTAACCGCACACTACTTTCACGTGCTTGCACACGCAACTCTTCCATGCTTGGCCTCGTCGGTTACCCGTAAGTGGTAAAACAATGCCGACAAGGCCCCCTCCATTTTTCCTTTCCCATTCTCTTCCCAAGGTGATGGCTACGAGTGCCTTTACCTCGTCGTCCTCCCAGTCTCTGGCGGCTCCCTGTTGTTGGGATCCACCACCACGTCTTAACCAGTTTCATCATTTGCCCTACGATGCCAACGTTGGGCCACCATCGTTGCCAACCTCGTGGCTCCAGCACATCGCTGCCTGCCTATGTCCACCGACCATCTCTCTAAGTGTTGGGGAAACACCCTCTTCCCCCTCCTATAACCACTCGGAATAAGTTCATATGAGGTCCCTTAACTTGTCAACGAATCTGATTTTTGTCCCTCAACCGGAAAACCAGACACCTCGGGTCCCTCAACTATCAAAACCGGTACAAATTAGGTACCTCGGCGGTTTTGGCTGATGTGGCGCCTACGTGGCTACTTTGACTCGGTCTTCATCTGACGTGGCATTGACGTGGTGCTTATGTGGCAATTCGATCCGGAAAAATAATAAAACCCCGTGGGACCCACCTGTCAGTCTCACTCAGAAAATAGTAGGACCCACGTGAGCCCCACATGTCAGTCCAACTCACCCCTCTTCTTCCTCCTCTCTCTCTCTCCATGTCCCCTCTCTTCTCTTCCTCTCCCCTCTCTTCATCTTCTCTTCCCGCATGCGAGCGAGGCTGGCAGCGGGCGGCCACCTCGGCGAGGCGCTGATCTCGCGCGCCACCGCCGCACTCCACCTCCGAGCCACCGCCGGTCCCGGGGGTTCGAGGCTTCGAGCGACTCGTTCCGCTGCTTCGAACTCCACCTCCTCCCCCGCGTCATGGGCACGCCGCTGGCCCCCATCCCTTTGAAGCTAGCAGATCCCCTGCCTCTCCTCTCTATCAAGGGGACCCTCATTGTACGGCACATTTCTTGCTTCACCTGCTTGTTTGGTGCTTCGCTTCTAGGAGATCGATGTGGTTGATTCATGGCTGTGCATCTGGTACTCACTCACTGTGAAAAATACAAGAGTCGGCGTCGGCACAGTATATTCTGCAGCAGTACATGGCGGCGTCGGGCGGCTACCAGCTGCTGCAACCGTGGGCCCAGCGGCCGCGACGCCGCCTCCGTCGAGCAGGGAGGCTTCGTTTCGTCCTCTGGCAGATGGCGCTCAACATGTGGTACGTCGAGCTCGCCGTCGGCGGCAGCAAGGTGCACGCGGGATCCAACAGTCGTCTCGTCTGGCGCCACACGCCAGCGGCGGCGAGGGCGGGGGAGGGGAAAGGAAGGCGGCGGCTCAGAGGTGGAGTGAGGCGGCGCGTCACTGAGGTCACCGCCCGCCTCGCTCGCATGCGGAAGAGAAGATGAAGACATGTGGGGCCCATGTAGGCCCCACTATTTTTTATTAATTTGTGGGTGAAACTGAGACATGTGGGTCCCACAGGTTTTATTATTTTTCCAAGATCGAATTGCCACGTAAGCGCCACGTCAATGCCACGTCAGATGAAGACCGAGTCAAATTAGCCACGTAGACGCCACATCAGCCAAAACCACCTTCAAAACCGCCGAGGATCTAATCTGCACTGGTTTTAATAGTTAAGGGACCCGTTGTGTTTGGTTTTCTGGTTGAGGGACGAAAATCAGATTCATTTACAAGTTAAGGGACCTCATATGAACTTGTGTATGTCCCTTGTCGGAATTAGGGGTGTTGCCAGTGCTGGAGAAGAGGGGAAGCTCACAGGAGTCAAAGGAGATAATGGTCCAAAATCTATAGATATCATCCTTAGATTTATGTCGAATGACATTTAACAAATTCGTTTATTTAATTGGTTTTAGTCTTTTACTTCGCTGATGGAGACAAAAAGAAAACCACATACTCTCTTCGTTCCAAAATTTAGTAAACTAAGATGGGATTAGACTCAGACCCATCCTACATATTGGAACAGAGATATATCTTTACTATTATAAAAATTAAAGATGTTTTTGCTATTATTTTGATATGTCATCCGTGTTTGAGTCGGTTTTTAAAGTCTGTTCGCTTTTAGAAATACAGATCCATGTTTAAGTCGGATTTTAAGTTTGTTTGCTTTTAGAAATACATAAGGAGTCATATAAGAAATCTCTTTGAAAAAACTCGCATGCAAACTCCTAATTACATCTCATGATTTTCTAAAAAAAAATATCCAATCAAATTCCCAGAGTTAATTTCAACTTAGTTAAACCGTATAACAATAATAATAAGATTAAAATAGCCTTCACCTATTGCAACGCACAGGTATTTTTTTTATAATTGAAAAAATATAGAAGGTAAAGGAAAGGAAATCGGGGGAGGAGGGGAGGAAGGTCAAGCCGGGGAGGACACGCACGCACAGATCCCTCCCCTCTCCTCGCTGCCCATCTCTCTCTCTTCCCCTTGACGCGGCGAGATCAGGGAGGAGGAGAGGGGGGAAGGGCACCGAGACGGTGAATCCTGGTCTGGCGCCTGGTTTGCCTTCGGATTCGGGAGGAGTTTCCATTTGGGGTCGAGGGATTTCGGGGGGCGCGCAGCGCAGCCAGGAACGAGAAGGCCTCCGTCTCTAAGGAGCTCAACGCCAAGCACAAGAAGGTTCGTGTGCTGATGTGGCAGCCTGACATGTGGGGCCCACGTGGGTCCCACGTTGAGTCACCCGCCACATAGGACAAAACCGGGGTTAAAACCGCCGAGGGATCTATTATGACCGATTTTGGTTAGTTGGGGGACGCCGGATATCCGGTTTTGTGGTTGGGTGACGATTTTGTAATTCGATGACAAGTTGAGGGACCTTGGGTGCACTTTTTCCATAAAAAAATGGAAAGAGAGAGAAATAATCACGTACTGGGCCAGGCCAGTGGTCTCCTGTGAAGCCCAATAGGAGGAGGCAGAAAAGCCCATGTGGGTGTTGCCCCGCCTCCTCTCCTGCACCGCCGCAACATCTCCAAAACCCTAAAACCCCACAAATCAACAACAACGCCGCCGCCTCATCCGCTCTGCTTCTGCTCGCATGGGGAAGGAGAAGGGGAAGGGGAAGTGGAAGAGGCCCCCGACCGTGAAGCCGCCGGTGATGGCCGCCTCCGCCTCCGACGACGACGAGATCGACGCCTGTAAGACAACGTTGACCTGACCCCCTCTCTCTCCTCTTTCCTCTTTCACCTCCAGCATCTCACGCTTTATCCATCTGTGTTGGGTGGGTGGGTGGGTATTTCCAGTCCACAAGCACCGCGACATGATCCCCCTCCACGACCACGGTCCGCCCCTCTTCCTTTTCATGTACCAGCCGTCATTTTTTCTTCCTTTTTACTTGAATCTTTTTACTGAATGGATGGATGGATTTCAGATATGGAGTCTGAGGATGACCTGGAACACCCCGTCTTCGATCTCGAGGTAATTTCTATTCTATGCTCCCTTCCTTTCTCTTTCGGGTAATCGCCTCGTATATATACACATGACGATCAGTTATTTCTCTACTACTGCCTTTTTACTCTAGTCCATTATGCCTGTACCGGGGTCCGGGGTGCGGGTACATTTCCCAATCTTGATATTACTGAATACCACTATAGCAATAGCAGGCATTATGATCTTGGTCCAAAATCAACCCTCAAGCACAACCAACATAACCGGTTAAAATACCCCCAAGGGAAATCCAGCCCCATTTTAACCTTTTCTTTAATATAAGTTCTCTATAATATTGCACCCAATTAATAGAAAATGTAAAAAATAGTTGCCATATTAGTCAAAAAGTATATTTACGGGATGTCAAAACCATGAAACCACCACTTAATCCAGTTTTTTTTATCTTACATGGGATATGTTAACTGGTTTAGATAGTTGAGGGTTGTTCACTACACTTGAGCTGTTACTGTAGTATAAAATATACTTCACTCTAAGGACCATGATCACCAGAGATTTATTTGTGGTCTTCTCTTTAGTTAGCAGCCTCTTTTGATTATGTAGTTAACTAACTATAATCAGTTTGTTTTCTATCTGTTGGCACTGTTTAACATTTTTTTTTATTTAAAAAAAGGGTATTTCTGAGAATGAAACTGATGACAGCGAGGGAGATGAGGATGGCAACATGGACAAAGCTGCTTATGATGAATGGGATGACAAATTTATCGCAAAATGTAAGTCCAACAACTATGTTAGCATGTATATATTTTTTGTAGGCATACAGCATATACTGCTATTCGGTTAGCAATCTTTGTTTGGCATCAATACTAAAGTTAATAAATTGGCTGAAGTGAACTAACCTTTGCAGTTTGCACTAAATTGTCCTTATTTTTAATGAGGAAACTGTTGCACCATTTTTTTGGATGTATTTGTTTCTTTAATTTGAAGAGTATTTATAACACCTATTGTGCCTCTAGTAAAAAGAGCAGAGAGGGCAGTGAAACAAATTGCTGGAGGTGATGACAGCATGGATGAACATGAGGATGATCATAAGGATAAAAATTCCTGGGGTAGAGGAAAAAATGCATATTATGATGCTGGTGAACAGTCTGGTGATGATGAGGATGACTATGAAGAGGCACGGAGGATCCAGAAAGAGGAGGAGAGCAAGCTATCAATGCAAGATTTTGGATTAGAAGATGGTGAAAGTGATGAAGAGGATAGAGCCATTAAGGTGATTGTCTGAATCTTTTTCTTCTTTGCTTCAGCATGGAATATGGCATTTAACGTCATTCAAACCTCTTTGGTTATCTTTCTTTACTTATCAGATAACTAGTTAAATGCATAATTGGGTGTACACATAACTAATTTCATGTTAATGTCCACCTTTATCAAAGAATGGCACTTTTGCTTTTGTTGTTACGTTTTACTTGACAATTACTAACTGACGTAATCTCTGTATATAAAGTAAGTTAGTGTTTTCACAAATATTATGGTAGCACGTCTTTTGATGATCATTGAATATGAAGTTAACAGAGAATACTTTATTATATTTTTTGTTTCATGTTGACTGTCAGGCATCCAACCATCAAGTCAAAGTTCCTGATGGTGAACACTCTTTTGAAACCTATGTGAAAATGAAAGAGGAGTTTGCTGTCTTGTCAAGAGATGAGAAGATGGGTGTGCTAGACAGGTCTGCTTTTATTTTACATATACAATGTCCTTTTTTTTTTCTATTTTCCTCTCAAAGCCCATGCTTGTTCTGTATGTTCATAACAATCAGTGGTTGAAGAAACTTTTTATCATTGGCATGTGGGTGCTGGTCTCCTGGACCACATGTCACTGACATTGGATAGTATTTCTAATGCAGATGCTTGTGTTGGCATCACCCCAATATTTGGTTTATCATGTCGAATCAACCTTGTGGCATTAGCCTTGATGAAGGACTAAATATTTAGATCTGCAATACTTTAAATATCTAAATTCAGTACCATTAAGAGCGACATTGTCTTTATCTGTCTCAGTTTCGATCCGTGATGATATCCATATATTTGAATTTAATGCAGTTCTGCTCCTGAACTGGTTGGATTGTTGTCCGAGCTAAAAGATGCCCATGAAGAACTAATGGCGATAGGACCAGTCACCAATGAGGTAGTTTGTTGCTGTGCTACTGAATCCACATGCTTGTTTATGATTCTTGTAGTGATCATTGTATTGCTGTTAGTTGTTGTTTACAATTCAAGACGAGTAACCTTTTTCTCCCTGATGAGACATTGGGACCAAACTGTACAATTTGCCACGTTTTGTGTTTGTGCCATTTTTACCCTCCAACTCCTGTGGCAGGTTTACCTGTTGCAGTTACCTTTTTATTACTATTACATATTGTCTTTCCTATTATAATTTGGAAGTAGCATAGCAATGGTGGACATGTATCTTGTGCTATATGTCATACCCTTTATATAAATTTGCTTGTCATGTGTCACTGTCACTGTCATTGCTCATCACACTCAGCATTTGATACCTCATGCTATGTCCCATGGCATGAACATCTTCTGTTGATCAAGGGACGTGGTCATATTCTTTTTAGCTTAGCAGAAATGCACGTATAGTGCAGTGTTACAGCAAACGATATTCTAAAATGTTATATGCCACTCTGTAGCAGCGTTGCACGTCGCATTGAACTCATGTGCTCAGATATATTCCTATATATAACATGTTTCATGTTTACCGTCTGTAAATCCCTACAGTCCTATAGGGTTTAATGATGTTACTCTGCAGTATTTGGACACATACAGTGGCATATTCAATAATGATACAAACAATGTGGTCAGTTATTCAGTGAAATAATTCTGCGCTTATAAAGACATTCCTATTTTGAGATGCGCCAAAATCTTCTTCATTGCAACCCAGAAAAGAAGACCTTGATTTATCTTGCAAAACAAGCAAGATTTAAATGACTTTAATCATTTGATGAAGCGTCATTTAATTCTGATTTGAATTGTTTTAAAGAACCATTTGTAGCCACCTCTTGTTCCTATCCCTTGCTCTCCACATAGGTGCATGAGGACATTAAGTGTTATGCACCCTGTCTATAATTGCTGTGAGCATTGTTGCAACACTTCTTTTTTCTAATCTTTAATATGATCGTCTGAAGATTACAGCAAAACTTACTAAAGGAATAAGGAAAAATATTTTAACTCAATATTTTATTCTTATGACTGTTTTATATGATTGTTCTTCTTAGGTTTAGCTCTGGTTGGTCTTTTTATAATAAACACTGTACTGCAGGTGACAGCTGGGCAAAGCAAGGATAAGGGTAAAATGCAGCCTTTGGAAGTGAAACGAGCTTGCCTAGCTGCTTATTGTCAGGCTATAACCTTCTACCTCCTTATGAAAGCTGAGGGATTGTCTGTGCAGGATCATCCTGTAATTGCTCGTCTTGTAGAGATCAAGAGTGTAGTAGAAAAGGTTCGTTTCTTTTCTAAAATGAGTCAAAAACATTGTTTTTTTTATTTATCTATTTGCTGTGAGGAGTTAATGTGTCCCATCATTCCACAGATGAAACATGCCAATGTAAACTTTCCAAGACAAAAAGAGGACAGTGATGACTATTGTATGCCTGATAGCAATATCATGGATGTGGCAGACATGATTTCTTTGGACAAGAAGAATATATATAGCAATTTACTACTACGAGACAAAGTAAAAATAGAAGTGGTGCTTCATCCTACTTCATTTACTAATAACATGACAATTGAAAAATTCCACTAACTCATCATGACAATAATTCAGGGTGTGGAAGTTGCAGAGTTGACAAAGAATGACCACTCTAACAAGGATCACCATGAAATTGCCAAAAGAAAGGGCAAGGTTGAATGCGAACAATATTTAGAATATATTTTAGTATTTATTTTGAAAATAATGCAGATACATAAATGCTGAACAAGTATTTAAATTGTAGGATGAGCATATTGGTTCGCAAAGCCTTGAAATGTTGAAGGTGAGAGCAACCCTTGAAGAGAGGTTAAAAGAAAAAGGGCTCTATAATTTGACGCGATTGAAACGTAAGAAGGTTTCAAACACCAGGACAACTAATAGGTGATCTATGGTTGTGCCATCACTTAATTATTTCACATGATAACTTTTACATATTTGGATGATTTTTACAATATGTTTTTATCGATATTTAGAAGTGACCTGCAAACGTTGGATGATTTTGATGATGAAGTGCTGAAAAATACTCAAGCCATCAAACCTAGTAAGGTCCTGGTAGCTGCGGCAAAATCCAATAAAAACAAGGTATGCATATATAACCTTTGTTATAATTACCCCCCATCTCTTTAACAGTTTTATATTTGGCTGGCTTCTTTTTAATTACTACAAAATTCTGTAATCTTGTTATAATATGTAAGCTTGAAATGATTTAAAGTGTGCTCAGTTAACCAAAGTCTTTTCTTGAGATGATTGAAATTCAGTACTATAGGAACAGAAGTGGTAAAGCCTTTTTATATACTCTAGAATATTGATGTGTAAGTAGCTCACTGCATTAGAGACTGAAGTATCAATGTTGATGTGTAAGTAGCTCACTGCATTTGAGACTCAAATATATTGCTTCAAATAAGTTTCCTAAAAGCAACACGCATTTTGTAAATGTGACGGTAGTTTTTGTCCCTGGCTTGTGGTTTAAGATGAGAAAACTGCTGCAACATACTTGCTAATAAATAGTCCCATAGTTCACACAACCTGACATGAACTTGCTGGAGGTACTGTACTTGGTAATACAATTTGAAATCCTTTTCTTTTTGAGATATCATCAGAATTATGTAACGGGGACAGTTTTTTTTTAAGGTTATTGGTGATATTTCTTTATCAGCCCTAGTGCCTGGTTCCCATTAACATGCTCTTGCAGAGTTGCATACATGACTTTTGAATTATTTTTAGCATGTGCCTCTTCTTTGGTGTGCCAGTTGTCAAATGCTCTTGTACTCCCTCCGTCCCCAAAAGACTCAATTTCTAGGTTTCCGTGTCCAACGTTTGACTGTCCGTCTTATTTAAAAAAATTATGAAAAAATTTAAAAGTATAAGTCACACATAAAGTATTAATCATGTTTTATCATCTAACAACAATAAAAATACTAATCATAAAAAAATTTCATATAAGACGGACAGTTAAACATTGTACACAAAAACCCAGGAATTGAGTCTTTTTGGGACAGAGGGAGTATGTTATTTGTGTTTATGACAGTTGCAACAGGTGCTTACTCTTTTTTTTTTGGTTCTCTTTTGGAGTTTGTCTCTGGTGATGACGAGCTTCCAAAGCGAGATGATATTGGTGAAAGACGACGAAAGCACGAATTACGTGTTCTTGCAAGAGTAGGAGCTAGTACACTTGAAGATGATGACTTGCCAGAGGAAGATGATCATACTGAAGAGAGACCTAATCAATTAAGTGAAGAAAATGGCAGTGATGATGACATTGGACCATCAGAGTCTGAAGATGAGTTTTACAAGGATGTTAAAAGGCGGAGGACTGAAAAGCTCTCGAGTAAAGAACAGAAATACTCGCCGTAAGTTCCATTGATAAAGCTTGATAGGTGTTTTTTTTAAGAAATGTCACACAAATACTAATTTGTTGTATTACAGGAACCCTGTTATTGAATCACTGGAGGAAGAAACTGAAGGAGATGGCAAGAGGAAGATCTCATACCAGGTTAAGTGTTTGGTACCACCTGTTATAATTTTAAATTTTCTGATATGTATGGCTGAAGAAATCTAAACTGTTGTAGATGGAGAAGAACCGGGGGTTGACTCGCTCGAGAAATAAGAAGCTTAAGAATCCACGGAAGAAATACAGGGTAAGTAGCATAGTATAGCATAAGACAGTGGAGCTAATCATTGAGAATGCACTGACTTGTTGCTTGTGAGTGTTCAGGTTAAGCATCAAACAAAACTTGTTAAGCGGGGAGGTCAAGTGCGTGGCGTGAAGAAGCCCTCAGGACCATACGGAGGTGAAATGTCTGGTATTAATCCAAATGTGAGCCGTAGTGTTAGGTTCAAGGGCTGATGTATCGAATTGATTACGCCCAACATGGAAATTTTTGTTTGATGGTAGGAAGTTTCATGGTTGTAATTTGCCAGTAACAGTTTTGCCTAGAGAGAGAGAGAGAGCATGCATGGATTGTCTTTCGATTTTGTACCAACTAGAGTGTAGAGCCCTCCCAGTCCCAGGGTGAGTTGCCGGAAGCATGTAGAGGCGCCTGGAGCACGTCGTGCAGGGAATCGGATCGGAGGATTCGGTTGCAGAGAATGAGATGGACCATTTGGATACTTTCATGGTCATGGCGCTGTCTGCATTGGCCAGTGGGATTATGGGAGTGCTCAGTGCTCACCACGATCACGATGGATGCACCTGGTTGTCGTCCGTGCATCCTTATGCTTGTCATTCATGCGGGACAACATGCTTGATGGAATCGTGGTTGAGGATTTCTCAGAATGACTGTCCAGATAATGAAATGCCTTTTGTGAAGTATGTAAAACTATATATATACAAATAAGTATATTTAATAATGAATCAAATGATAGGAAAATAATTAATAATTACTTAAATTTTTTGAATAAGGCGAACGATTAAACATATTTTAAAAAGTCAACGACATCAAATATTTAGAAACAGAGAGAGTATTAACCTTCAAGACGAATATTCTCTCAAACTACTTATCTGATTTATAATTTGATTATATACCATTGTATATGGGCACAGGCCTATGTGTCTACACCCCTACGGGAGCATGGCTGATGTGCATCCATGCATGTGAAGAGGTAGCAAAGGACAGCATGCATCTGACCAGGATAAAGTCGGAGAGAAGCATGGCCGCGAGGAGGATGGGCACCCTATTTTGTGACGAAAAATCGAACACGCGATTCGTAGTTAGCTCTTATTTATGTTTTAAAAATTATATATCTCTCTCACTATTTGTAATTGATGGGTATTCCTTTCTTGATATGTTTGACTGGCCGCGGTTTGAATATATATCGATCGTGAATTCGAGATCTCTTGCCTCTCATACTAGTATATATGCTCGATTGGATCTGCATCAACGCGTCGTGGCGCGCATGCATCATCTACGCATTAATTCATAAATTTGTGGTTGCTCTATACTCTCTTCATCTCAAATATAACACCCAACCATCACTACCTCTGTTCATAATTTTTTTTGACTATAATTATAAAAGGACACTCTTTTAGAGATAAAGGTAGTAATTAAGGACGCGCGCTTTTACATATGGCCTTTTATTTATTTATCCTCTTTTTTTTCCTGTGGAATAAGCTAAGTATATATGACCTTAATTATTTTTAATATATTTAGAAGGTACTAGAAAGCTAGTGGCAGATGGAATTGAAGCTTGTGTAAATTAATTATTAGCCCAGCTAGGTCCGTCACCTTTGCATCAATATAGTTAATATACAGTAGAATATTATATGCATGATGATAATCTGTTTCAGATTTGCCTGAGATACCACGACTACACTTTGTAAAAGTGTCGGTGCTAATTTCAATTCCGCCGGTGACATGACACAAAAGGTACTAATTAATTATTAAGGTGATGTTGGAGCTAGCTATCAGACAGACTAGTTTAACTGTTAGTGACTTAATTAAATTTTGAGTTGAAAATAGTTAAGCTTTAGATAATTAATTAATTTGATAAATGTTGCATCATATCATATCATTTTGCGTATCAAAGATGGCTGCTAGCGATGGACAAGCTAGCCGGATGGGCACTATAAATTATAATTAAGGAAAGAAAAGGAAATGATCGAAAAGAGGCATACTTTTTCTGATAGATCGATTAATTATAATATCGGTCTTATGGAGATGTATTAATTAATCTACTTACGGAGATGGATTCTAATAACTCGAGTGGACGTCCACCCATTTATTGCATGTCAACGGGATGGTTATGAAAAATTTTCAAAAAAAAAACAAAGACAAGATATATCAATATGTACCTATATCGCTCCACAAACATGCAAATTAAAATTCAACTTCTATAAATTGTAACAAAAATATTTGTTACAATTTATAGAAGTTGAATTTTAACTTGCATGTTTGTGGATTGATATATTATATATTGATCTATCATGTTCATATTTTTTCAATTTTTTTCATAATCATTTAGATGACATGCAATAAACGGATGGACGTCCACTCGAACTGTTAAAAACATTTTCTCAATAGAAATAGAAAGTGATTATATGATAATTGGCATTCCATAGTGATAATAAGTATTTTGGACAAAATTTGAGTTGTAAAGCAGAGATAATTGTATTTTGGAACGGAGGTAGTAAAAATTATTATATTTTGGGATGGAAATAGTAGTTAATTAGTAGTGCATTAATTAAGAAGCTACTAGGCGAGGATGTCATGTTGATGATGGGCACGCACGAGCTGGTTGTCGTGGTCCTGCTTGTCCACTAGTACGGGTACGGCGGGCTGGTCGTCGTCGAGGTCGAGGAGGAAGCAGCTGCAGCAATGGTGCTCGAAGGTGTCGGCGGCGGGTTGCGGCAACGAGAGCAGGACGGTGACGGCGTTGGGGTCGGCGAGGACGGGGAGGAAGACGCAGTAAATCTCGCTGGTGAGGGGGCCCATGTGCGCCGCCCTCCCCTTGCCGAAGTCGACGTCCTCCAGCCCCAGCCGCGTCCACGCCGAGATGACCAGCGTCGCCGCCAGGTCCGGCTTGGCGCCGCGCCGCTGGTCGAGGAGGTCCACGGTGGATCGCACGTAGTCGTCGTCGATGCAGTCCTTGGCCTCCTGCACCAGCCGCACCCCGGCACCCGCCGCCAGCTCGGTCGGCGTGGCCTCGGCGCAGGCCAGCACGAAGGCGTTGCCGCAGTAGGTCCAGGGGAGCTCCGGCTTGAGGCGGCGGCGCACGTTGACGGAGAAGAGGAGCTTGACGCGCATGTCGGGCGGGGGCGGCGGGGCGAGGGAGAGGACCCAGGCGCGCCACACGTGCGCCGCCAGCGCCTCGAAGGAGGTGCAGCTGCGGAGCGACCGGGCCTTGAGGCGCCGGAGGTGGGCCGCTGTGAAGGTCAGGGAGACGGGGGCCAGCGGCATCAGCTGGGGCTGGATGAGGAGGAGGCTGCTGCTGCTGCTGCTGGTGTGGTACTCCGGGTGCGTGAAGGCGACGCGCGGAGGGCAGCGCGGGCGCAAGGCGCGGCGGTCATGGAGGACGACGGAGAGGTCGTCGTCACGATCGGCGGCGAGGTCCAGGTCGGCTGCGGCGAAGGCGGCCCAGGCGTGGAGGAAGTTGGCGGTTGCGATGCCGTCGCAGACGCAGTGGCTGATGGCTGTACACACTACCATGCCTCCGCACCCCAGTTGTGTCACCTGCAACGCAAACATATTTAATTATAATTAATTACTCCATCTTCTATCTAGGAGTATAGTATCTGTATCTCCTTGAATGAATGAAAATTGAATTGAATTGGTGCAGACAAGTGATGAACATACGACACCATCTGATCGATCGATCAATCTGAGGGAGTACTGCACTGCACTGTAGACTGTAGTGTACTCCTTCCTACTCGAGTGCTGGACAGGATGAGTTAAAAGCAGAGCTCGCAGGACACTGACTGACGACTGAGTGTACTCCTACTAGTGATAATCAAGATTATTGGCAGTGGAGGGTAGTAAGCGATCGACCGACTCAAATTTGAATGTTAACATGTTCCGCATCTCCTACCGTATACTCCCTTCGTCTCATAAAAAATAAATATAGAATCAGATTAGAATGTGTCACATCCGATACTAGATTGGTTTTCTATGAGACATAGGGAGTATCAATCAATTCATTGATGCATACTGTATTGTCCATATCCTGTCTCTCAAATCGTACGTTGCACAATATTACATTTATTATTAATGTAGGCTCCCATCGGTTGCCCATTTTGCCTGGCTTATTAGAAAATAAAAATTAATTTATAAGTAAAAATTTTATAAATTTGTTCGTAGCGATTTAAAAGCCAATATTAAAAAAATTACGTTAAAAGCATCTCAAAATCAACTTCAAAATCAAGTTCAAAAATTCAAATTTTGGCTTATTTTTTGGCTGTTTAGGCCAAACGATGGGGCTGATATTAATTGTTGGAGGCTTTGGCAAAGCTAGTCTGAATGAATCAATCAATTCTCAAAATGAATGCACACATCCACAGAGATCTAGTAGCTACAGTGATCTTTGGAAGGGAGGAAAAGTGAGAGTATCCTCAAAATGAGGTTAATTTTAAACTGATGAAGACTACTTACCTATATAGCTACTACTCCTTTTGTTACACAAGAAGAACATCTTTTAGTTTTTTATATAATGTTTGACTCTTCGTCTTATTTTTAAAAAAAATATAATTAGTACTTTATTTTTATTAGATAATAAAACATAAACAAGACTTTATATGTGGGTAATTTTTTAAAAAAATCATTTTTTAAAAAAATAAGACAGATTGTTAAACGTTAGATACAGGAATTCAAAAATGTGTTCTTTGTGGGAAAAGACACAAATATTAGGGAAGGATGGGATAAGGCTTCGAACCCAAAGAATATTAGGGGATGAAGAGATGAGGCTTCGAACCCAGGTCGTCTAGCCCACTATCTTGTGGAGCTAACTGGAAGACCCCTAGTCGTTTCTCAAGTTCTTTGTAGGGGCGTAGTGAGTATATAATTTTGAGCTTTACTTTTGAGGTAGCCGGCCGGTTTAACCTACTCTTAGGGTGTGTTTGAGGGGAAGGGGATTGAGGAGATTGGGAAGATACGCAAAACGAGGTGAGCCATTAGCTCATGATTAATTAAGTATTAATTATTTTAAATTTCAAAAATGGATTAATATGATTTTTTAAAGCAACTTTCCTATAGAATTTTTTTGCAAAAAACGCACCGTTTAGTAGTTTGAAAAGCGTGCGCGCGGAAAACGAGACTCAATCTCCCCAAACACCCTGGAACGAACAGAGCCTTAGTTTTTGCAGAAATCAATATCCCATTCTCATCTCATCTAGCTAGATATATATTGTCAAGCATTACTCTCACTCACTAAGAAGCAAGGAGCAAAGGAGCATATACTCCTGGATAGGAGTATGTACATTAAGAGGGTCATGTTGGGGTATCGAACAAATTGACAAATCGTTGGTGCTCATGCATGCATGTACTATATATGATGATACTCCTAGCTAGATTGATAGATAGACAGGCTTGACCTCAATCTAAATCTATTAGCTAGTCCTAGTGATCTACTCCTAGTAAAGCTTAGTGGATTGGTGACAGAAATTTGGATGGACAAGAGATGGAGGCTACCCATGATGGAATATGGATGCATCCCATATGGCTAAAAGGCTCCTCGATCTGCTAGCTGGTATAAAGATCATGGCCTCCATGCCTGCCTTTCTTTTCACAAAGAAATTAAAGTCGATCTCTCCTAACACTATCCTCTCAGCTAGCCTTTTTCTTTTCTGCTAACTTTACCAATGGCTCAATGGCCACCCCAGCCACCACTTCGCATTATTGTTCATCCTTGTACTTGTATATACTAGTACACCTCAACTTCACTCCAGCTAGCTACTACTAGCACTAATTAAACAATATCTACCAGCCAGCTGCTAATTAATAAATTTAATCTCCAGCTGCTGCTGCTGCTGCTGCTTAATTTTGGTGGTGGTCACAAGCAAACTAAAGGAAATGACAATACTAACATATACTAATTAATAGATTAAGATCAGCAGCAAGCCTGCAGTTCCATCTCCATTAGTCCTCTCAGGAGTCAAGAGGAAGCTCCACTTTAATCACCAACTACTCCCTCCGTCCTAAAAAAAAGGCAAACCATGGGTTTGCGTATCCAATTTTGACTGTCCGTCTTATATAAAATTTTTTTATAATTCGTATTTTCATTGTTGTTAGATGATAAAACATGATTAATATTTTATGCGTGACTTGTCTTTTTAATTTTTTTCATAATTTTTTTAAATAAGACGAACGGTCAAACGTTGGACACGAAAACCAGGGTTTGTCTTTTTTCGGGACGGAGGGAGTAGTGTAGTAGGATAGGAGCAGCAGAAAAAAGCAGACAAGCTCATCATCATCATCAAACACGTACAGGTCGATCAGGGGGGAAGAAGTAGTGCTTCTTCCTTTCTTTTCTTTTTTTTATTATGGACCAATTGGGTGGGGGTGCTTAATTAATACTGCTATATATGATCATACCATCAATAGTTATCCTTAATTACTCCCTTATCTCCACATAGTAGAGTATTGATCGTACTACGTACAATAGGGCGGGCCGGCGATGATGAATATCAATGCTAGCTAGTTCAACCAGCACGCACTAGTTCGATCGATGTACTGTACTGTCTGCAGCAGCCATATAGATAATCTTAAAGCAAAAACTCAACTAATTAATAGTATATAGCATCAATCATGTAGTATCTAGATAGTGCATCAGTGAGTTCGTCGTTAATGAATGAATGAATGATATATAATTAATAAGTAGAGCTAGCGACGTCGTCCAGATCGAGATAATAAATACGAAATGAATGAAATAAGTACCTGGACGACGAGCGGCGGGACGGCGACGAAGGTGGCGGCGTGGACTCTGTAGAGCAGCTTCCTCCAGGACTTGTGCGGCTTGGCGGTGGCACCGGCACGGAGGAAGTCGGCGGCGGTGAGGGTGGGCAGGAAGGCCTCGGCGAAGAGCGCGCCCTCGGCATTGCAGTCGAGCACAAGCTTATCGTCGGCGTGGTGCCTGAGCCTTCCGGCCAGTGGGTAGTAGTGGACGAGGGCCCTGGCGAGCGCGGCCCTGAGGGCGTCGGCGGCCACGGCGGCGGAGGGCGGGAAGACGTAGAGGTACTTGATGGAGAATCGGAGGAATCGCTGGTCGTCCAGGTTGGAGAGGTAGAGGGAGCGCCGCGGCGTGGCCGAGCTCGGCGTCACCAACACCGCCTCGCCCCGGTACTCGCACTCGCCCACGATCTCCATATATATCTACCTACTATATGCTTGCTGCGCTCTGCTTCAAATCAATCCACCTCTCTCTCTCTCACTCCCTCTCTATATAATGCTTATTGCTGTTGCGCGCCCACCCTCTCCTCTATCTACCTACCTTAATTATATAGGACGGACCACATGAGGTCTATATAGGGGTGGCAATCTCCTCGATCTGCTAGCTGGTATAAAGATCATGGCCTCCATGCCTGCCTTTCTTTTCACAAAGAAATTAAAGTCGATCTCTCCTAACACTATCCTCTCAGCTAGCCTTTTTCTTTTCTGCTAACTTTACCAATGGCTCAATGGCCACCCCAGCCACCACTTCGCATTATTGTTCATCCTTGTACTTGTATATGCTACTCCCTCTATCCAAAAAAAGGCAAACCATAAGTTTACGTGTCCAACTTTGACTATCCGTCTTATATAAATTTTTTTTATAATTCGTATTTTCATTGTTGTTAGATGATAAAACATGGTTAATATTTTATGCGTGACTTGTCTTTTTAATTTTTTTCGTATTTTTTTCAAATAAGACGAATGGTCAAACGTTGGACACGGAAACCAGGGTTTGTCTTTTTTTTTTACGGAGGGAGCACCTCAACTTCACTCAAGCTAGCTACTACTAGCACTAATTAAACAATATATATCTACCAGCCAGCTGCTAATTAATAAATTTAATCTCCACACTACACTGGTCAAGGTCACCTGTGACGGGCCCAAACCCTCACCTTTGACGGTTTTGGGCTTGGTCAGTGATCAGTGGTCACTGGTAAGTCCAGTCACCTTTGACGGGTGGCCGGCCGTCAGTGGTGACATCCACCTCTGACGGGCAAGTTAATAGAAGGCCGTCAGAGGTGTTGGTCTAAGCTAGACTAGGGCTTGTTAGGACCCGTCACAGGTGTCTCATCTCTGACGAGCCCCTAAATAAAGGCCCGTCAGAGGTGATGATCCCCGGTATATAGTAGCCGTCACAGGGTGACCCACCTGTGACGGGCCCGAAAGTAAAAGCCCGTCACAGGTGGGTCACCTGTGACGGTCCGACGTTTGCGAGTCCGTCACAGGTGAAGTTACCTGTGACGGATGTTTCTTCCGAACCGTCACTGATGAGTTAATTCCAGAAAAAAAATAAATGCTAAATATTGGCTAGCCTCAGGAATTGCTAGCCATGCCCTCTGAAACACAGAAACATCACAGGTGCCAGTCACCCCCCCTCCATATCACATATTCCCCAACTGCCCAACATCACAGATGCATCACATATCACAGATCCATCACAAAGCAACAATTTACAACATCACATATGCAACAATTTAATTTATTATAGGACACACTGTGCTGCGCCCTGCATAAGGTGAAAGTTTGAATTTAATATTGGAATGTGTAAATGTCTTTTATTAGATATGGATCGGATAACAATAATTACCTCGATGTGGTCCACTGCAGCTAGTGGTGCGATCGGGAGACCAGGGGCCGGCACCTCTGTGGATGCACAACTACTCCTATGCTGTGACGGACTCGCGTCGTGTTGTATACGAGGAGTTGGTTGCACAGCAGGTGTTGTGACTCGGGGTATATTCATGTCGGCGAGCACCTTGTTAACCCTTTCTTCCACCCTTGCATTCATGCTAGCTTCTAGTTCTTGAATGACCTCAACCTTAAGTTCGGCCTTCAAACGAGCGTCCCTCTCTTCCTTGGAGACTTTCCGTTTCCTGTATTGGGAGCTGTACTGAGGGAGTCCATGCTTCCAGGGCACATCGCTACCAATTCCCCGAGTTCGGCCAGGATGTTCTTTGGTTCCGAGCGCCTTTGTGAGGATGTCATCTTCGCGCCTCTTCGGCGCGGACTCAACCTCGCTTTGTGAAGCTTGTTCAGCAACCAAGCCCAACTAGAAAAGAAGATAGTCGTTTATACGAACTTGTACTTTATACGAACGGAAATTAGTTAGGTTAAGTAGTGAACTCACCAGTTCCTGATAGACGACGGCATCACTTTTGTTCTCAAATGTGACAGAGCCGTCCGGGTTGACCTTACCCCTTGCCCGCGCCCAGTTGCGAGCTCTTTGTTCAGGGATGTCTGAAAACGGGGCAGGTACATTCGCTGCTGCAGCGGCTGCATCTTCTTGGGCCCATATTGCCTCCTTGCCGATGTACCCTGCGGTGCCCAGCCGATGCGGGTGTTCATTCCGCTGTTGCAGTACGCGATGTGCCTCGCTGGATTCCCTAAACTCTTGGGTGGTCTTGAGAGAGCAGAATTCCTCCCACACCGCTTCGGTTATTTGAGGGTATTCATCGAACGGCGTATGATTGCCGGGCGGGTTGACATACTCGGTGAAGAGCTTCGACTTCCAATTCTTCCAAGCTTTGCCCATCTTTTGTAATGCCTTCCGCTTGAGCCTATCCTTTGCTTCGGCTGGAAATGTGAACCATTTCTCCATTGCCGTCCAAGCTCGCTCTTTCTCGGCTTCTGTGACCTTCCCGATATCTTTATGGAGGATCCCGAAGTTCTCACGTGCCGCTATCCCGCAGCAGTTAGACCATCTTCCAATGACAGTCCTGGGCGCCGTGGGCCTACCACTAGCGTCAACCTCTCTTATAACTTGCACTGTGGTCGGCCATATATTTTGTGACCGCGGATTTCTACTAGACCTACTTGCACTTGTCTCGCCCGACATCGACGTATGTTGTTCCTGCGGCAATTCTGCAGCACAAACAGAAGGCAATATTTGCTAAGGGGTGCTAGCTAAAATTTATGTGGTCATGTGGTGAAAATTTATCCTATAAATTACCATGAATTTCGGGTTGTTGGACCGCCGTTGTCGCGGGATGACCTTCGGCAACTGCCTCTGTGGCTGGGTTTGCTTCTTCCTGGATCCTCGCAGGTGTTGGGGAGGGCGGGTTTGCGCCGGGCGTTGACATGGTTTAACTTTCGCGAAAAAGATTATAAATTTCCTACCATTAGACTAAATAGCATTAGATCCAATGTAATACGGGGTATACTATGAAAGATATGGCCTCAGTTTTGCTGAGAAATATGCATCAATTACAATCATTTGCATGAAGGGATAAAAAGAGAAAATCATAAGGAAAAGAGCAAGTGCAGGAAATCTGTTCTTATGCATAAAAAAAGAACAAGTGTAGAGGTATATAACCACTGAATCAATCATGCAAATTTAAAAAACAGCAGCAGCAAGGGTACATAATTTGCATGATTGACATAAAACAGCAGCAGGAGGAGTATATATGCCACAGGGGTAGCAACAGCAGGGGCAAATTAACTAAAACAACATGTCTAGATATACTCCTCTTATCAATCCAGAAGAAAAGAGCAAGTGCAGAAAAAAGAGGAAATAGAAAATAAAATAGAACAAGTGTAGTTCATCTGTTCTTATCAATAAAATAGAACAAGTGTAGTTCATCTTTTCTTATCCATAAGGAAAAGAGCAAGTGCAGGAAATTAGAGTAGGAAACAGCAACAGCAGGGTGGAAATTCACATAAACAGCAACAGCAGGGTGGAAATTCACATAAACAGCAACAGCAGAGGGAAATTCACATAGACAGCAAGGGTATATAAATCAACAAGTGTAGATAATCTGTTCTTATCCATAAAGAAAAGAACAGGTATAGATAGAATGTTATTAAGCAATTCATCCTTGGCCATTTAACAAGAAGTACAGGGGCAACAACAGCAGTGGTATATAAATCATGCATATATTATTGTAGATAAAAAAATGAACAAGTGCAGAAAATCTGTTCTTATGCATAAAAAAAGAGAGATTCACTGCACCAAAATCATGTAATACGGGGTATACTATGAAAGATATGGCCTCAGTTTTGCTCAGAAATATGCATCAATTATATTCATTTCCATGAAGGGATAAAAAGAGGAAATCATAACATCAAAAGAGCAAATCTGTTCTTATGCATAAAAAAAGAACAAGTGTAGATACTCTGTTCTTATCCATAAAGAACAAGTGTAGAGGTATATAACCACTGAGTCAATCATGCAAATTTAAAAAACAGCCCACAATAAGGGTACAGATAAACTATTCTTATTGAGCAATTCATTACTTATTGAGCCACAACAGGGGCAAAAAGAAGAATAGATAAAAAAATGATCAAGTGTAGATAATCTGTTCTTATTGAGCAATTCATCACTGGCCATTTATCAATCCAGAAGAAAAGAGCAAGTGCAGAAAATCTGTTCTTATGCATAAAAAAAGAGCAAGTGCACAAAATCTGTTCTTATGCATAAAAAAAGAACAAGTGTAGAGGTATATAACTACTCTACACTGGCCATTTAATAAGGAACAAGTGAACAAGTGTAGGGGCAGTAGCAGGGGTGTAGATAAAAAAGGAGACAGTACTACTAACTTCATGTAAACAGCAATTCATCCATTCAATTCAAGCAAGTCTACATAATAAAACAGCCCACAATATTGTGGCAGCAGCAGCAAGGGTATATAAATCATGTATATAAACAACAATTCATACAATTGACCTATTCATAGACAAAAAGGGTATATAAATCAACAAGTTTAGATAATCTGCAAAGCCTCCTTAATCATCAAATTATGACAGAAAACAAAATGCATGGAGAATTTTGGTGTCTAGGTCGGTTCCGTCCATGGACTACACTGGCCTATCCACCAAAATTCCCCATGCACTTTGTATTCTGTGATGGTTTGATAACCTCGGAACTACATTAAATCTGCGGCCAATCTATCAATTCTTCCCTTGTAACTAGATTTCAAACCCTACACCTAATAAAGGTCCTTAATTATCAAAGAATTATAGAAAACAAAATGCATTAAAAATTCATGCTAAGATCCTCTATTGATGCTAAGATTCACTGCACCAAAATCATGTATATAAAATCTAGCCCCTACATTCATCCAAAACATCCACAGACAACAAATCACATTTAATTCATCTATACAGCAGCACCAATAATCGAAACAACAAATCACATTTCATTCATCTAAACAATGCAATTCATCCATCGGAAAAAAGGAGGAATGGGGGAGGGTGGCGGCATACTTGGAGAAGCGGCGTACTTGGAGACGGCGGCGCAGGCCGTAGTCGTCCTGGATCCTGGTGGCGGCGGCGGAGAGGCAGTGGCGAAGAGGTCGAGGCGGTCGGCGGTGGTCGGGGATCCCGGCGTCGGGGAGGTCAGGGTCGGGGAGGTCGGGGAAGTCGATGGACGGACGGCGGAGAGGACGACCGGCGGCGAGGGCGGCGGTGGAGGCGGCGGCGGAGAGGGCGGTGGAGAGGACGGCAGAGATGGCGGCAGAGAGGGCAGCGGAGATGGCGGCGGAGAGGGCAGAGGAGAGGTTGAGGCGGCGACGGTGGAGATGTCGGCAGAGAGGGCGGCGGCGAGGAGGGTCTGGATGGCGGCGGAGAGGTCGAGACGGCGACGGTGGAGATGGCGGTGGAGATGGATGGCGGCGGTCGAGAGAGTGAGTGCGGCGGCGGTGGTGCAGGCCGGCGTCGGTGGAGAGGTCGAGGCGGCGGTGGAGAGGAGGGCGTAGAGGGCGGCAGAGAGGTCGAGAGAGGCGAGGCGGCGGTCGAGAGAGTGAGTGAGTGAGAGTGGGCGCCGGATCTGGATCGATCTAGAAGATGTCCAACCCTAGGTCAACCCTAGTCAAACTCACCTGTGACGGGCTCCAACTATGTGGCCGTCACAGGTGAGGTCACCTGTGACGGGCGCCAACCGTGGAGCCGTCACAGGTAAGACCACCTGTGACGGGCCCAGCACTCTGGGCCGTCACAGGTGAGGTCACCTGTGACGGCCCTACAGATAGGGCCCAAAAGGATTAATGCCGTCCGTACACATTGCGAAACGCATGTTTCTTGGGTCATTTGAGAATTCCTGGTAAATCCTATCGATTGTCCTCCACTGTACTGAATCTGCTGGGTGCCTCAGCATAGTATCGACTTTCCGTTCTTCGGCATGCCAGCGCACAAGCTTAGCTTGTTCCTTGTTCGCAAACATTCTCTTCATGCGCTCCGCAATTGGGAGATACCACACCACCTTTGCTGGGCCTCCCCTCTTTGACTTACTTCCTTCACCTTCACTCTTTGCTCGTTTGTATCTTGATGCCCCACAGATAGGGCAGACATCCAAGTCAGCGTATTCCTTGTAATACAAAATGCAGTCGTTCGGACATGCATGAATTCTTCTGACCTCCAGGCCCAACGGACATAATACTTGCTTCGCTTCATATGTCGTCTGAGGTAAATTGTTCCCCTCTGGCAACAGATCCTTTAACAGCTCAAGGAGTTCTGTAAAACTCTTGTCCGACCAGCCATTACTAGCCTTAAGCTTCATGAGTTCCAACACGCATGACAACTTGCTGTGCTTCGACTTGCATCCATCATACAACGGCATCTGGCAATCTTCCACCAACTTACTAAACTTCTCATAATCTCTGTCGTTGTCCTCTGCGTCTTCAATGTCATGCAACATTGTAGATAGACATTGAGTGTCCAAATCTATGGTCTCTCCACCTAAAGGAGAAGGTACGAACATGCCTTCTCGAGCTGCGGCGGTGTTCTCTACATCCTGATCCAACACTTCTTCAGCTGCGACATCAGGCGCCTCTTGCTCTCCATGCTTGGTCCAGCAGGTATATTTCTTCATGAATCCATTCATTATCAAATGAGCATGCACTTCATCCTTGTCTTCGATCATCTGTTCATTCTTACAGTCCCTACATGGGCACAACATGTGCATGCTCATCCTACTTTTTCTGTCATTATCCGCAAATGTGACAAATTCAGTGACCCCCTCTCTATACTCGGTAGACGAACGATGCGCATAGTACATCCATCTACGATCCATCTGAAATCAACAACATACGAAGAAAAATAAATGATGATCGATATGTTGAGAATGAATGGAGAATAATGTGTTTTTTACCTTGAATTTTAGCAAAAAATCGCCCCCCTTGCCCTCCCAACCGATTTGTGAACAGTACAATGGTCGGGATGGAAAGCAGTTGGCAGTTTGGGGGTATTTATAGACCCAACACACCTCAAACGGGTTAGATAAAAAAAGCCCGTCAAAGGTATTGCTCATACCTTTGACGGGCTTCTATTCAACGGCCCGTCACTGGTATCCTCTCACCTGTGACGGGCCAGAAATGAAAGCCGTCACAGGTGGCGGCCCATCACCTCTGACGGCTTCTAATGTATCGGCCCGTCACAGGTGAGGGGATACCAGTGACGGGTTGGAAGAAAAACTCGTCACTGGTATACCTCTGACGGGTTTTCCTTTCGGCCCGTCACAGGTGAGGGGATACCTGTGACGGGCCGCGGCCAGATGCCTCACCGGTGACGGCATCCCGTATAACCCGTCAAAGGTAATGGTCACTACTGACCAATTCGTTTGCCCGTCACAGGTATCCCGTCAGAGGTGTGAGGATCTGGCGTAGTGCCAGCTGCTGCTGCTTAATTTGGGTGGTGGTCACAAGCAAACTAACTAAAGGAAATGTTAATACTAACATATACTAATTAATAGATTAAGATCAGCAGCAAGCCTGCAGTTCCATCCAAGGTTTACCTTACCGCCGGGGCCGCCCCGGCGGTAAGCACGGTTACCGCGCGGTAACCGCGGTAACCGTGAAAAACCGTACAAAACCGTGCAAAATTTATCAAAATTTCAAAATATTTTTAAAATTTATTTGTATTTAAGGAGTTTACCGCGGTATTTATATTACCGTACCCCCGCGGTAAGCCCGGTAACCGCGCGGTTACCGGCGGTAAGGTAAACCCTGGTTCCATCTCCATTAGTCCTCTCAGGAGTTAAGAGGAAGCTCCACTTTAATCACCAACTAGTGTAGTAGGATAGGAGCAGCAGAAAAAAGCAGACAAGCTCATCATCATCATCAAACACAGGTCGATCAGGGGGCAAGAAGTAGTGCTTCTTCCTTTATTATTATTATTATTATTATTATTATTAGAGCAGGTACAATAGCAGGCTATTAGCCAGCTATAAACATATTTTAATGATATAAACGATGAGAGAGAAGAGCAGCGGGCTACAGATCTATAGCCAGCTGCAGCACGTACTCCAAGACACACTGTGTATATGACAGGTGGGACCATATACTAATAGTATAGTAAGCAACTATTGTATGAATTGACTATTAGATTGGCTACAGATGAATTGGAGCTGGTAGTGGGCTGTACTATTAGACTTGCTCTTATGGACCAATTGGGTGGGGGTGCTTAATTAATACTACTATAGATTATCATACCATCAATAATTATCCTTAATTACTCCCTTATCTCCACATAGTAGAGTATCGATCGTACTACGTACAATAGGGCGGGCCGGCGATGATGAATATCAATGCTAGCTAGCTCAACCAGCACGCACTAGTTCGATCGATGTACTGTACTGTCTGCAGCCATATAGATAATCTTAAGGGAAAGCAAAAACTCAACTAATTAATATATAGCATCGATCATGTAGTATCTTGATAGTGCATCAGTGAGTTCGTCGTTAATGAATGAATGATAATTAATTAAGTAGAGCTAGCGACGTCGTCCAGATCGAGATAATAAATACGAAATGAATGAAATAAGTACCTGGACGACGAGCGGCGGGACGGCGACGAAGGTGGCGGCGTGGACTCTGTAGAGCAGCTTCCTCCAGGACTTGTGCGGCTTGGCGGTGGCACCGGCACGGAGGAAGTCGGCGGCGGTGAGGGTGGGCAGGAAGGCCTCGGCGAAGAGCGCGCCCTCGGCATTGCAGTCGAGCACAAGCTTATCGTCGGCGTGGTGCCTGAGCCTTCCGGCGAGTGGGTAGTAGTGGACGAGGGCCTTGGCGAGCGCGGCCCTGAGGGCGTCGGCGGCCACGGCGGCGGAGGGCGGGAAGACGTAGAGATACTTGATGGAGAAACGGAGGAATCGCTGGTCGTCCAGGTTAGAGAGGTAGAGGGAGCGCCGCGGCATGGCCGAGCTCGGCGTCACCAACACCACCTCGCCCCGGTACTCGCACTCGCCCACGATCTCTATATATATCTACCTACTATATGCTTGCTGCGCTCTGCTTCAATTCAATCCCTCGCTCCCTCTCTATATAATGCTTATTGCTGCCGTGCGCCCGCCCTCTCCTCTATCTACCTACCTTAATTATATAGGACGGACTGACCACATCTAATCTAAAGACTTCAAACCTCCTCCGGGCTGCTTATACCTGGCCAAACGGGCGGCCCGGCCCAGCACGGCACGGGCACGCCGGCGGCACGGCCCGCTAGGGCACGGCCCGTTAGGCACGACTCCTATAGCGGGCCGTGCCGTGCCGGCCCACGTGCCTACTCCCCGGCCCAAGCACGGCCCGAGGGAACGTCGTGCCGTGCCGTGCCGGCACGGGCACGTCAATGGCCCATGGGCCGTGGTCAGCCCGTTGGCACGACGGACTGCAGCCAAGGACGCGGGCACGCGGCACGGCCGAAGGACTCGGCTAGGCGACAACGCCGAGTCGCCGACAAGGCGCGCGCGCGGCGCGGCTGAAATTTTCAACGCGGCACGCGGGAGCGAGCGGCCGGGGCCGCGCGACCGGCCGGCCGAAGGGCGACACGTGGCGGCGGTGGCGCTGGACTTGCTGACGCTGTCCGTCACCGTGTGTCTATTGCCTGTCAGTCTGTCACTGTCAGGCTGTCACTCTGTCAGTGGAACAATTCAAATCAAAGAGAAAGGTCTGAAAGTTAACTAAGCTAAGAGAAAATTAATGGATAGTTGGAGAAAAATAGAAAAATAATTAGACTTAGAAAAATATTAGAAAAATATGAGGAAAAAAGAGTAATGACCTTTATTGATGTTTACATGATACATGCTGCCTCGTTAAAAACTTTATCATGTAAAAACTCATATTTGAGAAAACCATGACAAAGAAAAGAGTACAGCCAACAGGTCAATACTTAAAAAATATAAACTAGCTACCCTAATTGTTCGTCATCTAAATAAAGGTTTTCGAACTGTGCGGCCAATTCTTGGTTGTCAGCAGTGTATTGGGCATGTTCTGCAGCAAGTTCCCAGTCTTTGACGCTTAATAGTATTTCCACATGATCGCTGCTCAGACTTGTTCTCCTATCCTCGATAATTCTTCCGCATAGACTGAAGGCTGATTCGGAGGATACCGAAGATACGGGCACCGTCAACACATCCCGTGCTAGTTTTGATAGCACAGGATATGACATCTTATGATCATTCCACCACCCGAGTACGTTGAAGTCTGACGTTTCATGCCTGATGGCATCGCTATCCAAATAGTTGGACAACTCTTCGGCAGGACCATGCGATCTAGCGTCCCCACTTGCTGCTGATGAACTGGTACCACCACCATGGCTAGAAGATGAACTGCCCCAAATTCTGCTCCACTGTAATTTTTTCTTACCTGCTGCAGGTACAGGTGGGGGTCTTTGCAAGCGATCTCCCTGAAACTTTAATTCATACTTTCGAAATACCTCATAGAATTTAGTTTTGACATCAGCATAATAGGTAGAATAATCAACATTAATAATATCTCCAATAAGTGAAAGAATATTGAGGAATCCCCGTAATTTTCCCCTAGGATCAAGAATAAATGCAAAAGAATACAACATGGGGATGTCTTTCCAATATTTAAGATATTTTTGTTTCATATTAAAGACAACGGGCATTAAAAGGTCATCATTTTCATACTCTTTCAACAAAGTGGCAATTTCAAGAATATTATGCAAAATTAAATTAGCTGTTGGATAATATACTTGAGATAACAGAAGAGTACAGTCATGAAACGTTTCAAGAAATTGATTGAACCTTTCAACAATGTGCCAGGTATGATCAGTCAGTATTGGCTGGCCATCACTGTTTTTTGGGCCATTACGTGTTTGAAGGAAAACAGTAAGTAAATCCTTGTAAGGTAATACAACCTTTAACATAAAATAAGTGGCATTCCACCGATGGTCTGCATCGGTTAAAAACTTACGTGGGGGCTCACCCGATGCACAACAATACCTTTTCCACTGTGCAATCCGTGGGTTTGAAGCAGTTAACCACGTGATTGCTTGACGAACAGCGTCGATGTGTACATTAACTCTCTTAAACCCACATTTAACAATTAGATTAATGATATGGCATGCACAACGCTGATGCAGAAGAAATGATTGAGCATAAATACAAAATAATGGTTGTAGAATTTCCATGGCCCTAGAATTTGCAGATGCATTATCCATTGTTACAGCAAAAATTTTATCTGCAAGGTTAAACTCATCAATAACCTCTCGAATTCTCTCTGCTATATTTTCACCAGTATGTGAAACATCAATTAACCTTAAGCCAAGAACTCTTTTTTGCATTTGCCAATCATCATCAATGAAATGTACAACTACACTAAGGTAATCCTCTTTAGCCCTACTACTCCATATGTCTGAGGTGACACTGACAGAAAAGGTGCATGTACTAAATAATTCCTTCAGTGATTCATAACCTTTGTCATAGACATTTTTCAAATCACGGGTTGTGGTTTGTCTACTAACAGCTTGAAACCTAGGATTATGAGAATTTTTTATGTAATTTTCAAATGCAGGACTCTCACCAAAGTTCAAGGGTAAATCTTGTCTAGCAATTAAACGGGCAAGATTTTCTCGAGCTACCATAGGATCATACTCCCACGTACGTACCGTACCATCAGGATTTAGTAGTAGTTGTTGCTGTCGTAGTTGGATTCCTTGCTTCTTTGCACAAGCCTCGGCATGCCGCTTCAAATGTCCTGTTCCACCAGATGATTTTGCAGATAACTTATTTTTGCATATTCTACATCTCGCGAATGTTACCTGCCTTCCATCAGGGCCTGTCATGGCCACCTCATCGAAATGTTGCCAAACACCGGAAGTTCTTGATCTCTTTGAGCCGGTGTTCGTCGATGCACTCCCACTCATAGTGCCGGATGCTTCTGAACCCGCCGGTGGCTCCATAACTGGTGGTGTTGGAGCCGATCCGGTGGCATCATACTCACCAGTTGGGAATGACCTCGACACGTAGTTAGGGTCGAAATCACCTAACGTGAACGATGGAATGTTCGATTCATCCATTCTGAAAATTTAAAACAACATAAACAAATTTCAGAATATTTATTCGCATAACATAAAATAAAATAATACATAAAACTGAATATATGACGTACTTCTTTCTTACCACCTTTGCTTGGCTTTACACCTCTTGTATGCACTATTTTTAGTCACAAACTATTTTTGATTTTACACAAAATTTTGTCAAATTTTGTCTAAATCAAAAAATCGATCTATCACACGAAAGAGCACAACAGAGCACAAAATGGGAGGTATGGATGATTCAGAATGCTCTGGTGGGTGTCCTATTTATAGAAATAAATTTCATATTTTTTTCGAATTTTTTTCCTTTTTTTTTGCTCTCCAACGGCTACTTCTGGTCGTTGGATTAGCTCACTAGCCGTTGGGGGACACGTGGCACTCTCGCATTCGTCGTTTGACTAGCCGTTCGGCCGCCGTACGGGGTCTCGCCGAGTCGCTGTCTCGGCTGCTCCCAACGAGGCACGGAGGCAGAGTGGCAGACAGGCAGACAGGCAGCGAGAGCGAGTGAGCGACCGACCCAGCGTGAGGCAGCGTCCCAGCCTCCCAGCTGGCCAGCCCCAGCGACACGCCGACACGTCGCGACGCCGCTTGCCACGCGCCACGCGCGAACGAAGCGACGCGCGCTTCCCGCCGCCTGGCCCCGCGGCTGCCCTCGGCGGCTCGGCCGCTTGGCGCCACGTGCGCGGTGCCGCGGTGTGCGCGGCCGAGCCGATCCCGTGCCGTGCCGTGCTCGCGGGCCGTGCCGGGCCGTGCCAGCCCTCTACAGTAAACGTGCCGTGCCGTGCTGGCCCACGGGCTATGGCGTCGGCCCAGACACGGCACGGGTAAACGGGCCGTGCCGGCACGGCCCACAGGCCGGCGTGCCGTGCCGGGCCTGGGCCTTCTACAGTGCGGTCGTGCTTGGGCCGGCCCGGCTTGGCACGGCCCATTTGGCCAGGTATAGGGCTGCTCGTCCCTCAGCGTTTTGCGCTGGCGTGGACGCGGCCGGGGCGCGACACGTCACGGGGCGCTGGAAAATGGGTGGGATTTCGCGAGCTCTCCTGCCTCCGCGTCGTCTTGGAATTTTTGCACAAAAGCCCTCGCTTTTATAGTTATTTTGTTATACGTCCTCGTTGTAGCTTTTTCGGCTCCATAATCTTACGTTTAGACCCTCCGAGTCCTGAGAAATCCGAGACGAAGGAGACAAAAATGGGAAAAAAGAACCGTGCTCTGAATTATGGAAACTGAGGGGCCTTTTCGCATTATCTTTCCTCCTCCCCGTCTCCCCCGAAACCCTAGCCGCCACCGTTCACTCGCCTGTCTCCTCTCTATCGCTCTCCCCTTCCCACGACGCTTCCGTGGCTCCTCCTCCTCGCGCCCTCGCTGCGTCGCCGCCGTTGCCCGCCCTCCTCGCAGCGCCGCCGCCGCCACCCGCTCTCCTCGCTGCGTCGCCGTCGCCTGCTCCTCTCACACCCAGCTGGATCGCCGTGCCTTCTTCTCGCCGTCGTGGTGAGCTTGTGGGGGTCGGATGATGAGCTCGCCATGGCGGAGACCAACCACCACCTCTTGTGTGCTGCATTGAGTTGACCAGCCGAGCTTTCTCGGAGAAAGAAAAAAAAAAGGAGAAGGGAGAGGCATCTGGTTCCTCCTTAACGCCGTGGGACTAAATCCGGTGGAGGGCAGGCCGTGGTCACCGGATCTGGCAGCCACGACCTCCTCGCCGGCAGATCCGGTCATCCGGAGGCGAGGGCTAGCACATTGAGGTTCATTGCAAGTGTCGACGTCGGCCGTTCCTTCAGAGTGGTGAGTTCCAGGGGGGAAGGCCCTGCTCCCCTGCCCTTTCTTTCTTCACTCTCCCTCTCTCTCTGATCCAAATCCAAAGACGATGGGATGTTCCATGTTACAGATCCAGGTTGGCTTTTGGCTGTCGAATCAGTTGATGGTGAGTTCTTGGTCGCTTGATTTAGCGGCACCGGGCTCGTCGATGACAGATCGGGCGGCGCTGAGGAGGATGAAGTTCCCGTCCACTCCCGCGTCCTCTGCTGGAAGCCTTCTTCGCCGGGAGGATTCCTGGTAATGCTTGCCCCGCCTCCGCCGGTGACTTCTTGGTTTTGTCTCCGTTCTTGATCTGGATGTTGTCGTGTTCATTTCTTGGCAGCGCGGGATGCGGCGGTGCTGATCCCGGTGTACGGATCCTGGGCGTGATTCGGTGAGCTGAGAACTGGTTTGCTGCTGCTGCGGCGTGCGCCATGGATGGCGACGCGGATGCCGTGGTGAATGGCCGCCCGAAATGCACCGCAACTCGTGGGTGGATCTTGCGGAGGAGAGTCCAGATTTTGATTTTTGGTTTTGTGGGTGATCTGTTCCGCAAAAGTCGGGGAGGCACGGGAGCGGGCAGGCGTGCCAGATCTTAGGTGACGGAGGGCGACGTCTGCGGCTTCCCGGTGTGCCGCCCCTGCTATGAGTACGAGCGAAAGGATGGCGCCCAGGCTTGCCCCCAGTGCAAGACCAAGTACAAGCGCCACAAAGGTAATGCCCCCGTTTCCGCCGATTTCGCCCCCATCAGCTGTAAATAAATTCAGAAACATCTCAGAAAAAAAAAAGTCTGGATCTCTAGAGGAGGCTGACGAACTGAAGCGGCAAGGCGAGGCGATGAGGCTAGGGCCTGGGGATGGCGAGCACAAGTGGACCTGCTGCGTGCACCTCGACGCTCCTCCATCTATCCCGCACACGAACCACCTTATTTTCTTTCTCCTCCGGATTTCGGCCGCTCATCCTCTTCCCTGGGTAAAGATCACTCGTGTTCCCCTCCCGCTCCTTGTCTATATGCTTATTCGGCTTAGTTCCAAGGTGCTACGTGAGTTCTTGCATGTATTGGTCGCGATCTGATAGTAGTCTGGTAGATTATTCCATTCCCGTACTCTTGGAAGGGGAAAAGGCGATAGTTTCAGAATTAGGTACTGCTATTGATTTATTTGTCAACTGTTGGTAGGCTGCTTGTTTCTGATGTATGCCATGCAGTTCATTTGTTTATGTGAGATGAACAAGTTGCGGTTTGTTAGTGGAGTGATACTGGGAGCATCCTCCAGTCTAAGTACAGGAAGCTGTGTGTGGTTTTGGTTTCCTGTTATGGTAGCACATTTTTGCATCCTGCTTATGGTGCCAACTACAGATAGCAAGTTCTTTTTTCCTAAAATGTTTCGCCATAGTTTTGATCTGTTCACCACCATACAGACTAATTACAGAGTCAGTATGCTCTTTAAAGCATACCGTCTTTTTTTTCTGACCATTTTGTGGTTTTGTCTCACAGTGGAGTAGTTTGAGCTTTGCACTATGGGTTGGCACTTGCAGGGGCTGATAACTGGAGGTGTGATTCTGCTCGTCAGTAGCAGGAAGAATTCACACAATTTTCTGTTCAGCAAGGACCTCTTCTTCGTGTATTGCTTCCACCAATCATATTTAATGCTGGGTGAGTTTTCTGTGTAGCTATAATTCATGTAATTAGCTCCCAACCAAAGTGGAGTTTATTTCTTTTCCTTCCATATGTTATTTTAGTTCGGCTTTGGCTAAAATCTTGAGAACAAAATTCACTGCAATAGGACTCACTTGAGATATTCATGCATTTCAGCAGCATAAATTTTGTTCTATCATTTTTTCCGTTCTGTATAAAATGTTGTTTTTATATTTATGAATTCATCAAAACCATGTTTGTAAGACTTAAACATCTGTGATTTGTCAATGTGAAGGTACACTTACTGAACTAGATGTATGAAATAGTCAACGGCCCACCTATTCTTATGAAATTATTCTGAAAATTAATTAAACAATCACAGTTGTAATGATATCAGTATGTTAATAATGTATCTGATCTCCTAATGAATTTCTAAAAACGCTAATGAGATGCATCAGATCAAAATATTACCACTAGGCCACTTCCTTTAAGTGGGAGGCACTTGCTCTGTACTCTGTCCTATTGCCACTATATTGTTTAATCATTCTGCATATTTAAAACTAATGTGAGTTTTGTTAAAAGGTCATAGCCGCAACACAGCTAATTATAAAGAGGGTAAGTTCTTGAATGTGTGGGCTAAGTGACATTAGTATGGCAGGACTAATAATAAGCAGTGTGTATTTGCAGTGTCATGAACATGTTAAACTAGACAATTTATTTGCACTGTCATGCAAATACACAGTTTGAGGCCTCTTTTCTATTTACATAATTTACTGCATATTTGCATTTTTACTGCTCCTTGGTTTGAACAGGAAAGTATAATGAAGTCTATCTTTATTGGGAATATTGGCAGACTGACTCTAAATTTCCACTGCAGCTCGGATAAAAGAAGTGGACACATACCTTATCGAGACTCAAAGTTGACACGCATTCTCCAGCTTTCTTTGGGTGGAAATGCAAGAGCATCCATCATCTGTACCATGAGTCCAGCGCAAACACATGTAGAACAATCTAGAAATACGTACTCTATTCTTTGCAACCTGTGCCAAGGAGGTTACAAATAATGCAAAAGTTAATATGGTAAGATCTGTGACTGTGAGACATCATTTATTCACTTATCAGAATGCAAATCTTCATCCCTTGGTACATACAGGTGGTATCAGATAAGCAATTGGTGAAGCACCTTCAGATAGAAGTTGCTAGACTTGAAACTGAACTGAGAATCCCTGATCGTGCCTCCTCTTCTGAGATCATTATAATGGAAAGGAACAGGAAGATTAGACAGGTAAATGCCTATGCTCAAGGATGAAATTAACTGGAATCATTTCCATTTTGTAACTGACCTAATTAATTGAACACAGCAGGTGGAAAAAGAAATGGAGGAACTCAAGAAGCAACGAGACAATGCACAGTCGAAACTTGAATTACAGAAGAAGATGGGTGATAATCAGCCAGTGAGTATTTACCTTCTCCTTGCGAATTTACTTTTCTCAAAGGATATCAGCCTGTCAGAACCACATTCTTTTACTGTCAACCTAATCTTTCTGAAAACCATGTTATAAACCCCCCGAAAAATAGTAAGGCTTCGGGGTGGCCAGGGGGCGACGGAGGTAGCAAGCACCCTGACTGGCCAGCGGAAAACGAGGAACATATATAGCAGTGGCAGCGGGAGATGTGGGAGGGCCAGCGCCGAAGAGGATCGTGAAGCCGACGAGCCGCGTGAAACACATGCTTGGAGCCGATCCAAGCAAATTGCTCGATTCGTGGCATGTTTTGCTGAGTCTAAGCATGACGTACTTATCAAGATGGGTGTGTGCAATGCAAGGCAATGATGCACAAAATCCATCCTCGATTCTTAAGTTAAAAGTGTTCCAAGTCCCATGCTCCTTGGTACATGCTTCAACTAGGCAGCCCGAAGACTCCGGGAAGCTCTCTCGGGTGCCCAGAGGACCATTTCTAGGGGCCCCAAGGCCAAGCTCTACGCCTTCCACTTGCAAGCCCAAAAACTCAGGAGACTCCGTCAAACCTCCTAGGGTGCTCGGAGGGCCATTGCTCGGGGGCTGTGGCCTTTTTGTTTGGGAATAAGTTCATCTAAGGTCCCTTAACTTGTCAACCAATCCGATTTACGTCCTTCAACTGCAAAACTAGATACAACGGGTCCCTCAGCTATCAAAACCGGTGCAGATTAGGTCCCTCGGCGGTTTCGATAGCGGTTTTGGCGCCTACGTGGCTAATTCGATCTGACATGGCACCGATGTGGGCGCTTACGTGGCAATTTGATCCGAAAAAAGGACCCATATGTCAGTTTCACACACATTAATAAAAGAATGGTGGGGCCCACGTTGGCCCCACATGTCTCCCCATCCTCTTCTGCTTCCTCTCTCTCCCCATCTCCCCTCCTTTTATCTCTCTTGCGACGACGGCGGCGGCGGAAATGGCGAAGAGTGGCCGCCGGCCATCTCGCTCTTGCACGCGCTCGCCGGTAGACCAGAGAGCTCGCCTAGCTCCTTCCCACCGGTCGTCGCCCTTGTCCCCGATGGCCGCCATCCGCTGCCCTTCTCCCTGATGACCGCCGGCAGGAGAGGAGGGAGCGGCGCCACCACTTTCACCAGCACCCCACAGCGACGGCTTGCCGGCGCCGCTCACCGCAGTGACAACGATGACCGTGGATGCGGCGGCGCCAGCGCTGGCCTCGACGTCCTTTGCTCGTCGGAGGATGAGGCGCCGTCGACGTACATTCCGATGGCGGCCTTCCTGACCTCGAGCACGAACAGCAGCAGCGTGCAGCGTGAAACAGACGATGGCCTGGAAGACGGAGAGCTGGACAACTGTTAGCATTATTTTTGTGTGGCAGTTAGCTTCGTGCATGCGGCTAGCTAGTGGCTGCCGAATTAATCAGATCGCGTGCTGCGTGCGCGTACGATGCGGCCGAAGTTTGTTTGCTTAGTGGTGTGTCTGTTGGGCTATAAAATTCATGTAATCTCCTGAGTTAAGTTCCAAGTGAATGAGAAAAACTAGATAAGGCGTTCGTCGTCGAGAAATTCTTCTGTGTTTGTCCACAAAGATTTTCGCTCCAGCTAGTTGAAGTGCGCGTGTTGCTGTAATCCTTGGCCAGAGCTGACAACGACGAGCTGCTGCGCCCACTCGCCATACATGGCGCACGCCGACGACGAGCGAGTTGGTCAGCGTGGACAGCGAGAAGCTGGTGATGGAGCAGCGACGGACGGCGCAGCCGCCTTTACTCATGAACCGTGCCCAGACGCCGATGACGGCGACGGGTTCGTCCTGACTAGATCCAGATCCCTCGGGATCCACCAAGAGAGGCTTGAGCTCGGCAGCGGCGACGAGGGGGTCGGGTAAGGCGCGGGCAGCACGAAGTCGAGCGGCGAGGTCGGCTACGAGGAGGCAGCGGCGAGGTGCTCCTGCCGCTTTTGAGCTCGTGGCGGGCGGCGAGGAGGCGGTCGGAGAGGCCTGGGGACGAGGAGAGTGGGGCGAGCGCCGAAGCGAGAGAGGAAAGGGGAGAGAGATGAAGAGATGGGAGATGGGGAGAGAGAGGAGGAAGAAGAGGGGTGAAATGACATGTGGGGCCCACGTGGGCCCAGCCATTTTTTATTAATTTGTGTGTGAAACTGACATGTGGGTCTCACGGGGTTTATTATTTTCCCGAATTGAATTGCCACGTAAGCGCCACGTCAGTGCCACGTCAGATCGAGACCGAGTCAAATTAGCCACGTAGGCGCCACGTCAGCCAAAACTGCTATTGAAACCGCCGAGGGACCTAATTCGTACCAGATTTGATAGTTGAGGGATCCGTTGTATCTGGTTTTGTGATTGAAGGATGAAAATCGGATTCGTTGACAAGTTAAGGGACCTTTGATGAACTTATTCCTTTTGTTTGGCTGGGAGACTCCAGAAAGTCTCCTCGAGTGTTGATGCCCATTTCCAGGGCCTCCGAGCCACAGTTTCTGCCACAACGATGTGGCAGGCCAAAGGCTCTAGGGCCATGCTCAAAGACTCCATGATCGTGTTGGCGATGCCATAACGACTAGTTGGGAGTTGGGGGTATTTATACCCACTAACCCACACTTTCTCCTCTTTGATTTTTCACCCCATCTCTGTCTCTCTCTCATTAAGCTCTCCTCTCTCTCCTACCTTTGAGGCAAATCTTTATGGGATTTGAGTTGGAATTTCAGGGGATTAAGTGCTTGTGAACTAGGATTTATGCTTGAGCACTTGAGATCGACGCTGGACCTTTCACATGCTTGTTTACTCTTGAAGGGCAGCCTGCTATCTGTTTAGGTATCTCCTTCAAGTTTCTAAGTCAGTGTGGCAAGCCCAAGAAAATTTGTGAAGGCTCTACTCCACCTTCGCAAGGAAAACGGGGTTAAATAATCCCCACCGATGGACTAGGTTTTCCCTTTAAGACTTGATATTAGGATTCTATTGTGGTAGTAGCGTTAATTTATCTCCTAGCTTGAAACCTCTGTAGAACTTAGTGGAACTACCAAACTAGACTGAGGGTTCCGAAGAATTGATCGGAGTGTTCGAGGAAGTATTTAATCAAAGTTCGTTTAAAATTATAGGTTTAATCTATTTACCCTCCCTTTTGGGCCCAACAAGTAACTTTCAGATTTAACATCTATGTATTTCACGTGGGCATAGACACACGTAAATTCTCTAAAGAGATAAGAAAAGGAAAATATATATATATGGTGTTCAATTAAATGGGCAAAGCTAGGCAGGAGGTAAATAGGGGGCAGTGGGCCACTCAATGACTGTATTGTCGTACTGGTGAGGTTAGTACTAGTACTGGTTTGGAATTGGATGCAAAAAAATTAATGCAATAAATATGGCATGCTAAGTACTCCTTTGGTAAAAAAATACTCAACTTAGAAGTGAAAAATATGGAGAGAGTATTACTAAGGGCATCAGGCAATGAGGGTTCATGCAGGCCGTAAACCAGGGAGCAGGGGAGAAGCCCATGAGGCTGTTAGCTGATGGGCCTGTACGGTCTCGTGTGTACACAAATATTTGGGAAAAAAGTACACCGAAGGTCCCTCAACTTGTCATCGAGTTACGAAAGCATCCCCCAACCGCAAAACCGGATATATGACATCCCTCAACATACAAAACCGTTCACTTTAAACCGGGGTCAAAACCACCGAAGGACCTAAAGTGAACGGTTTTGTAAGCTGAGGGATGTCATATATACTCGATGACAAGTTGAGGGGCCTTCGGTGTACTTTTCCCCACAAATTTGCGATTAGTCCTGGGCCTAGATATGGCCGGCGATTTTCACTATATATATGTTATGTACACAAATTAACCATTACTTAATTAATTAACAAGAACATATATATAATTAAGAACATGAAAGATCGATCATTTGCAAACGAGTGGGCCATGCACCATCCTGGTACGTAGTACGTTGATGCATGGTCCGGTCCTATATATAATTGCATGCCTTGATGGAGTGCAGTGCAGTGCAGGCGGCGGCCGGCTACAAAGCCTTCGATCTGCCTCTGTTGTTGGTCGGTGCCTCCAGTCCAGCTGCTAGCTGCATACTCCTATTTGGTACCTTCGACGTACGTAATCTTGATCCAATTTTCATTTATAAATTAATTAACTACGAAGAAATTAATCTGTTTATAATTAATTTCTTAACTCTCAAATCATTTAGTATATATTAATTTCCTCGCAAAGATAACTTAGTATATAATGTTAACTTTAAACGGTATGAAACTAGTTAATTATTAGGTGGTTTAATTTCGATGAAGTGACATTTATATATCTCAAGTGTGTACATAGACAAAATGTTATGACACCGTACGTGATTCACGTGTAATTAATACGAAGAAGTAATATCAATAATGACAATTATATCAACTTAATTAAACAACGATCGAGAGGGCCGGGGTTAGATTTCGATGTAGAGTATCGAATTGCAATGTTAAGTGAGCATATATATTCCCTCCGGACCCGCTTTTGTCTTCTTCTCAATCAGCTTTAGAGGACACACAGGACCAAAGGCCGGGCCCCTCCTCCGGTCGGCTCGCTTTTACTTTTCTTTTTAATTTTCCTACTGCATCGCCATCCATGTAACCCTATCTTCATATAGTATATTATACTCCCTCCGTTTCAAAATATTTGACACCGTTGACTTTATAGTACGTGTTTGACCATTCGTCTTATTCAGAAAATTTAAGTAATTATTTATTCTTTTCATATCATTTGATTCATTGTTAAATATACTTTCACGTACACATATAGTTTTACATATTTCACGATTTTTTTTTGATAAGACGAACGGTCAAACATGTGCTAAATAGTCAACGGTGTCAAATATTTTGAAAGGGAGGGAGTAATTGACTGTATGCAGTGTTTTTCTCAGTTTTCTATGGAGAAGATTCCTCCATCGATCTCACTTGAGCTAGTTACATGCATTAATCTATTAATTAGACAAGGGAGAAAGAGAGAGAGAGGAGAAGAAAATTAAAGACAACCTTATAACTAATCTATATATTACTCATATATATTAGCTATAATATACATATATGCTAGTAATTGGTTCTTCTATTAAACTTGCACTAATTAATTAACCGTAGTTACAAGCACTGTCTACTATATGATGATAGTATAATATGCAAATTAATGTTACTTATGTGAAATCACTTTCAACTAGTTACCAGGGAAAAAATATTAATTCCAATGGCGTGTCCTACGTACTCCAATGGTTCTACATTAAATATAAGCATTTTGTCTACTAATATATAATAAGTAAAAAATGTTTATATTTTTGTTCAGTTACACAGCCAAAAATTTGATAATATAGTATTTTGAAACAAATCAAGGGAGAACATATAATTATGTTGAAATAATGTTTTCTAGATTAAGCCCGCCATTAATTTTTTTTAGAAACATATTATAAACACAGGCGCTTACAACACGCATACTCACCTCTATGAACACACACGCACACGCACATTCCATCCCTATGAGCATTTTTAAAAGACTGATCAGTATATTTATTTTAAGATTGATGAAGTCACCACCGACGGCCACCTAACATTAACTGATCTTGTTTTATGAGAAAACTAATTAAGTTACTAAGAGGAATGAGTAATATATGCGTGCATGCATGCTCTTCTCGAAGAAGAGACGACATCCGAAACAAAGCAAAACACTATGATTAGGCCATAATGGGGTGGAAGCTAAGGGTACTGCATGCAATGCAAAAGTTTGTAATCATGCATGGCAGCAAGCAAAATGTATGGCCATGTTTAGTTCTCACCAAACTTTCTCTAAACTCCCATCACATCACATTCAAAACTTTCCTACTCACATAAACTCCCAACTTGTTT